GTTTCGTCTAAACCAGCTCCCTGCCTGCCCTTTGGTGGGTTCACCTTCTTGCGAGTCCAGCACCAACAGGCTGTGCTGGGCGTCCTGGCCGGGGAGGAACTGTCTGCAGGAGGGAAGAGCTACAGCCACTGGCTTTGCCAGGCCACCGGGAGCCGGCAGCCACTTTCCGTGCTGCCGAGACACCGCGATGGGGCTGCCCGTGTCCACAACCAAGAGAGCGCCCCTTCTCTGCTGACGCCTCTTCTTCAGAAAAAATAAGGAGGAAGGCCAGAGCTGCCCTGACCCCGGTTTCCCTGGTAACTGGCGCTCATCAGGCACTGCGGGAGCCACTGTCACCAAGACACAGAGAAGTGGAGCGGGACGCATCGGGACGATAGCAGCCGGCAGGGAGCACTCAGGGCCTGGGTGTCAGGCCCTGTCCTGGGGCTTCATGTGTTTTATTCACCACCTCCCACGGTGGCCGGCGGAGGGACGGGCAGGCAGCCAGGAGAGCGGCAGAGAGCAGGCGACACAACAGCACCCACTGTGCAGCCACCCCGGCCCCCCTGCAGCTGTGACCTCTACGTGAGCCAAGAGGGACGGGCATGGACGCCCTGCCTGCATTCTCACTGCTGGGACGCGCCGTCCCCGAGTTCCTCACTGTGACCCCACCAGGAACCGAGGCTGCGGAGAGCCGCAGGCCAGAGCCGAGGTCGCACCACTGACGTGCACACGGAGGAACCGTCAACACGTCGAGGGAGAGGATGCCGCCCACTGACCGACCGGCCGAGAGTCCCAGGAGGTGGACGCCCTTTTCACGTCTCCCTCTCAGCCCTCTTCTCAGGGAGGTCCCGTGTCACAGGTGCGGCACTCCCAGCCAGCCTCTGCGGGCCCTGCAGGGTGGTCACCCCGCAGTCCAGCCGCCTCCCACGATCGTGCCGTGGGCCACGTCCCCTGCCTTGCCCCCAGACTCCTCGATAACCACCAGCCGGTCTGCGTCTGTTTGGTTTTGTTCGGTTCTGTCTGTTTTGTGCAGATTCCACCCGTGAGTAAAGTCGGGCAGCATTCGTGCCCTCGCGGCCCAGCCCGGTCGGCCCCAACGGCCGTGTTTCCTGTTTCTTACGGCGGAGTCGCGTCCACTGTGTAAATGCAGCACATCACCCCTCACCCGCTGACGGGCGTTTAGCTGCTTCTGTGTCTCAGCCACTGTGAGCAGTGCTGCAGGGAGTCTGTTTTCGGACTTTACAGATGAAACCCAGCCCGAAGCTGTGTTGTTAAGAAGGAGCCCCCGACGGTTCCTCCCTGCGTTGCTCTGAAGGGAACAGTCAGTCTGGGGGAGTTGTCGATGGTTCTCCGGTCCCCAGAGTAACTGCTTCTGACTGAGGATCTCCGTTCGCTTGGGGCTTTCTGTGCCGCTTCGCATCCTTCCGCACATCCCTGGGGCGGAGGAGCCGCCAGCTCCATTCTCCTGGCTGCTTCTGCAGACGCCATTCCAGCTCTTGTGCGACCTGCCTGCCCCGCTCCAAGGGGCAGCGTGTGTCAGGGACAGTGTCTGGCTCTCGTAGTCCTGCCAGTTTGAGCAGAGTTCCTGTGACAGGAGAGGAACACGGAAGTTCTCAGGTACCCAAGTTGCAACCACTTGGGACTGAGCTCCCGGGAAGTGACCTACGGCAGCCGTGGGCTCAGCTGCACTTCGCTGCGGGCAGCAGCTCGGCTGCGGCCCCATCGGGCACAGAGACGCGTCCAGGAAGTCTCCCGAGCATGTGCACCCTGACAGGGAGCCGCCAAGGCCGTCGGTGGGATGTTTCCAGAAACGAGGAAAAAAGAGCCGGGAACACGAGGAATTTCTCGGTGCTGTGCCCAGGAGCCTGGGTTTCTCCTGGGTTTGGGGCCAGGGGCTCCTGTGATGATGTCACAGGGCTGTCCCACCTGCCAGCCCTGGGAAAGGGGAGGGGAAGGACGACAGGTGACCAGACTCGTTTTTGGTCTCTTAACTTTTACCTTGGCTGCATAGTAGGGCTCACATGCAAGACAAACCTGTGGGGCATCTGGGGGGCCCTTCCGTGCCTTTGCACAAGGTAGGCCGAGCCGTGGTCTGTGAGTGGGGTGGTGCCAGGAGGTGGCACAGGTCCAGAGTTGTCCTGCCGCTCGGAATGTGGCCTCGGAACCAGCTCACTCCGCAGGATCCAAGCACCTTCCGGGTTTCTCTCTGCAGATGAGCCGGCAACTGTCTGTTCAGTGTGGCCATTCTCAGCCGGTCCTTCCCTCGTATTTCCGTTGTTCCAGGGGTCTTACCTTGGCAACAGAGGTGAAGATGACGAGTGTCCTGCTCTGTGTTCTTCACGCGCCTGGTCCAGGAAAGGCGGGGTCAGCTCGGGCGGCCAGGCCTGTGTGGTGGCCGTTCACAGTCGGACACCAGTTCCCTACCAGGCTTGGCTGCTCCCGCTCAGCGCTGCTGGCACCAGGAGCCGGCTGCCTCCTGGCAAGGGCTGTCCTCTGCGCTGGGGGAGATCCGGCAGCATCCCGGCCCCTTCCCACTGGGGACATCTATCTGCAGACTTTGCAGGTGACCCCTGAGGAAAGTCGCCCAGATAACAAATCCCCAATCTCAGCTCAAGTGAAAAGGACAGACGTGGTGTTAGCCCCAATCCGGTGGCTGCGCCTCAGCCACCAGGACGGAGAGTGCGGGCGACAGATGTGGCACCGTGCACATTCAAGGCAGTGGCCCCGAAACGCCCCTGCGCCCCGCACCGCTGTGAGCACGCATGCCCAGGGCGTGTCTGCTCGCAGACACGCCAGTCCCCCACGTGGACACGGTGCTGATGGACATTCTCTTCCTGCACCCCCAGAGTGCACTCCCCTCCAGGGGGCCACAGACTAAAAGGATCAGGCCGTGTCTAAGTGGAGGGAGCGTAGGTCAGCAAATGAGAAAATGCCAATGCAAGTTCCCATCTGTAGCCTCTCTCCTTGCCATCTGTGGCCATTCCCCTCTCTGAGCCTCGGTTGCTTCGTTTCGTAAGATTAGAAATGGACAAAATGCATCCTGCTATTCTCGACCTCACAAGGCTGTATAGAGCAAACAATCTGAAATGCGTGGGAACTTGTTTGCTTAAAAGCAGTATAGGAAAATCAGAGGTGATTGTCATCGGTATGGGTTTCAGAAAGTACTGGAATGACCAGGTGAGAGTGTGGTGGTGACATTTCTAGTGCCCGGCCCAGGGTCTGCCTCTGTGGGGCTGGGGCACAGTGGCCCGTCCGGGTGGCTCCCAACCAGCAGAGACTCGGGGCAACGGACGATATGAAGGGCTCGGGGCTCTTGGCATCCACAGAGTGGGTCTCGGGTGGACGCCCGCGGGGTCGACGCACCCCACACGCCTGTTCTTTCCCAGCATTGTTAAGTCTGCATCTGCACTTGGCTAAACCTGCCGTTGCCTTTCCTCAGCGTGCGCAGTGGCGGGTGAGGTCACTACTGATTCCGTGCCGTACGCGAGGCTTTAGCTGCCCCAGGATTTGAAGATCCACACCAGAAGCGGATTGACTTGATAGATCACTTACGTTGGACTGCGTGGGGTTTCCTGTCCACGAACTAGCGAGTTAAAATAGGTAGCCCAGGCCCCGGCCCGGTGACTCTATGGGTTGGAGCCTGATCTCATACGCTGTAAGGTTGCAGGTTCAGTACCGGGTCGGGCGCACGTGGGAGGCAGACGCACAAGCACACGCGTGTGGGTGTGATTTTGTCCGTGTCCGGGACTCCCCTGGGAGTTGGGCACCATCCTCACTCACACGTCAGGCAGTGGGTGCTTGGCGTTCCGTGGCTTTTCTAGGGCCCTCCAGCCGGTCCCTGCTGGAGTCGGTTGTCTAGCCTGGATTTGTCTGACCCTAAACTTGGGGGCTATGCCGTATTTCAGAGAACACGTTAAAGAATAAGTAAGTTACTTTTTACTCTCATTCAGACATGTGTTCGTTGATTTTTAGAGAGAAGGGAAAGGGGGAGAGGGAAGGACACATCAGTCAGTCGCCTCCTGTGGGCACCCCAACCAGGGATTGAACTCAAAACCTGGGAGGTGTGTGCCCTGACCACGAGTGCATCTGGCCAAGGCGAGAATACGTAATTCTTCTTTAAAGTGGGTGATGAAGTGCTTCCAGACAGCAGGGGTGTTGCCCAGGGAACTGGTGTAGCCTGAAGGGGACGGAGGAGACGATAGTCAAATGCAGCAGTCGAGGTTCTCAGACCTGAGTCCACAGTGATACTCAAAAAAGTAACAGGAAATGGCAGGATTTCTCTACAAAAGACTGATGGTGGAGAAGGAGTGTGAGAATGTGCAGTCGCCGGCCCGTGACCCCCAGTGCGACGGCAGAGCTCACCCGTGGATGCTGACGGCTGGAGGGGTGTGGAGGCAGGAGTCCCCACAGGCCAGGCCACCGAGGCCGGTCACTAGGCGGGGGCCGCTGGGCTGTGTCCCCACATCCCGGCGCCCCCGGGGGTCAGTGTCATGATGTGGTAGTGTTGGGACAGTTGTGCCAGTGACTGAGCAGACAGAAGGGCCTGGGGACAGGGAGGTCAACAGGCAGCCTTGGGGCAGGAGCCCTGGTTAGATCCTGGGTCAGGGGTGGGGCCTGGGGCAGGACACGCCTTCTTTGTCCTCTCAAGTCTCCCTCCCTGGTCCCAGGCTCAGCCCTGTCCTGCGCTGGGGCCCCAGGTCAGTGCCGGAGGCTGGTGGCCCTGCCTGGGGGGCTGACGTAGCAGCTCCTGCACAGTGAGGTGCTGCTGCCCTCACACCAGGGCCCCTCCCAGCCCCCACCAAGTGCGTGGCCTTGCTGACTTTCCATCTTCCCCCTCTGGCTCCCTGGCCATCATGGGGGGCTGTCCCCCCTTTCACAGGAAGGAGTGGCAGCTGCCCGGGTGCTCAGATTCACCTTCTGGGGGTGCCCCGCCTGCCCGCCCACCTCGGTCGTCCCCACAGCAGAGGCTCAGCGCCCACAGTCGGTCACAGAACTTTGCCGCTTTGCTTCTCTTGCAGGGTCCAGTGTGAATGGCCGGGAGGAGCCCAGTGTCGCCAAGCGGCTGCGTGGCACCCCCGAGAGGATCGGGCTGGAGAACTGCCGCCTGTCCCTGCAGCAGGCCGCGGAGCTGCAGGAGGTGCCCGAGGAGACGCAGGCCGAGCACAACCTGAGCAGCGTGCTGGACAAGGGCCTGGAGGAAGACGCAGCCAGCAGGTGAGTGGGTTGAGGCCAGGCTGCAGCCCCTGCCCGGGTGCTTCCCTGGGCCTCTTCAGTCATTCACACGGAACCAAGGCTGTCCGGGTGCCCAGGCCCCTGCGGTGACAGGAGCTGCTCCTGACGACTGGGCTCTCTGGCCCTTGTCTCTCCTGGGAGGCCCCTTGCCCTTCCTGGGGCAGGCCAGCCGGTGGTCCTGACTTCTGGTCCTGGGCTGCTGACCAGGGCTGGCGGGGTGCCCACAGCCTCCTCCCTGCAGAGGGCAGACCCCGCAGCAGGCCTGGGCGCAGGCGAGGGTGTAAAGAAGCCCGAGGTCCTGGCGCAGGAGCCTGGTCAGACCCTGAGGGCGTCTACTTGGTCCTGGGGGAGTGACCTCCAGGAAAGCGCCACGGGGAGTGGCCAGCACGCCTGCCTCAGTTTCCAGGTGGAGACAGCACGGCCCCTCAGAAACAGCTTAAGACTCTGCATCCTGACAGGGAGGCGAGGGCGGGCCTCTCCATCCTGCTTTGTGCTCTGCACCCCAGGGTCCCAGTCTGTCGTAGGTACAGCCCCTGTGGGCTCACGGCTAGAGATGGGGCTCCCTGCTCACACTGGGCACCGTGTGGGGTCAGGGCAGCACCCCACGCCCCCCAAAGCTGCAGCACGTCTCTCCTGCCCCTTAGCTCCCCTAGGTCTCCAGATGAGCATAGGAGGCTTCGTAGCCTCGTATCAAGTTTGAAAGAAGTGGAGTGACAGTCATGGGGTTGCACATTGTTGTTTATTAATAAGGAAGTAAACAAATGGCCTTGGCCGGTGTGGCTCAGTGGATTGAGCACTGGCCTGCGAACCAAAGGGTCGCTGGTTCGATTCCCAGTCAGGGCTCATGCCTGGGTTGCGGGCCAGGTCCCAGTAAGGGGCATGTGAGAGGCAACCACACATGGTTTCTCTCCCTTTCTTTTTCCCTCCCTTCCCCACTCTCTAAAAATAAATAAATAAAACCTTTAAAAAAAAGAAAGTAAACAAATGAAAACTTGGAGACAAGGCAGAAGTAATCAAAGTAGAAAAATAATCAAAATCCAGGAGCCACCTTTCTGCCCGGTCCAAGCGCTCACGTTCGCCCGCATCAGACGGCTGGTGGGGGCAGCAGCAGAACCCCGGTCCTGAGGGCCCGGCTGCCTGAGCCAGTGGGCAGCCCCCCGGACGGGCCTCGCTCTGCCCCGGTCGCCTGTGGGAGCTCCTGGGCCACCCCCAGCTCCGCCGTTTCCTGGGAGGACTCAGTGCTCCCCGAAGGGCTGCACGCGTGTGGGCGGGGCCAGGCTGGGCAAGGAGGAGACAGTGGCAGAAACACAGCCGGTGGGCAGGAGCGACAGCTGGGGTCAGGTGCTTCCACCCTGTCCCCGCAGCCCTGCTCGGCCCTGCGCTGTCTGCCCCCCACCGCGTCCAGCTCGTCCACCTCCCTCTGGCCCCCACATCTCAGCTGCCTGCCAGGGTGTGAGGACGCCATTCCACCCTCTCATGCCTCCTCCACACCGTGTCTCATACACCTGAGTCCAGAAGGCGGCTCACGGTAAAAGGAGACTCTGCTCTTGACCCCTGGGGTCATGAGTTCACATCAGAAGGGGCCAAGGGCCTCTCATGGCCGTGTGGTGTCGGCAGCTCACCTGCATCTCTGCCATTTTGCCCTCTGTCCACTACCCTCCTGCCCTTTCCTGTCTCCCCTGGGCAGGGCAGCAGGCTGGCCCTCCAAGGGGTCCGCCCCAGCAGTGCTCTGCGGAACACGTGCATCCCCCTGCGGTCTGGTCCCCCCCTCATGTGTCCTGTGGTTCTTCCCACAGCAGCTCCGAGTCCGAGATGGAGGAAGAGGAGGACGAGGAAGAAGAGCCCCCGCTGCCCACCTCCGACCTGGGTGGCGTTCCCTGGAAGGAAGCTGTGCGGATCCATGCTCTGCTCAAAGGGAAAAGCGAAGAGGAGCTGGTCACCTCTAGGAGCCGGGAGCCTGGGGAGGAGGAGGAGGAAGAGCAGGAGGAAGAGGAGGAGGAGGAGGTGGAGGAGGAGGAGGAGGAGGAGGAGGAGGAGGAGGACTACGACGCGGAGTCCAGTGAAGGTGAGACAGCTACCCCACGCACTGTGGCCCTTCCGTCCCGTGGCACCCTGCCTGCCTCTGACCCCAGACCGTGCGCACTCTGGTTGCCATTGGAAGGTAGAGGCCCACACTAGGGTCCGTGTGCGCCTCTCTTTGTTTTCCACTTTTTCCCTTTAGTTTCAGCGATTGAAATTTGCTTTACTAAAGAAAGGGAACTTGACTTTTGGGAGGCTCCCCAGGCCCGGGCACCCGATCCCGCAGGCTGTGAAGATGGGCACTCACATTCGCTTGTTCACGGCTGCTGCCGCTGAGCGGGCTGGGGGCCAGGCTCCCGTGGGGCTGGCTCAGCCAGCGACGGCGCTCGAGTGCTTGTCCAGACAGAGCGGCAGCTCCAGTGTCCGGCTGGTCCAGTCGGCTCTGACGTCACTGTGCTTTGGTTCAAGCTGTTCCAACCCTGGTCCTGCGCCCGTGTGTCCTTGAGTAAGGAGACAGAAGCCTGCTGGGCCTCCTCTTCTTGCCGTGGAGGACACAGGGTCCTTCTTTCTGCCTCCTGGCTGTGCAGGCGTCCGAGAGCAGATCGCTCCCCCTGGGGGGGTGTGAAGGAGAAGGGCCTGGCCTCCAGTTCCCTCGGCCTTTCAGAGAGGCCGTCAGTCTGCACGGCCTGGACGTGCAGCACCGGCACTGCGGGCTTGGCCTCCCCATCCACCCCAGGGTCTGTTTTCTTCAACACAGCGAGGGCACAGAGCCCTGCCAGCCAGTCACACGAAGCTGAGTGGTCTGAGGCCCGGCCTCAGTCAGAGGCAGGGCACAGCCAGGCCCCTTCCGTGGGGGTGGGACCCACGAGACAGCCCTGTGTGAGGTGTAGAAGGAGGCGGCCCCAGGCCCTGGCTCCGGCACTGGGTTCCTGTGTCCAGAGGCTGCACCTCTGTCCCAGTACTGCCCCATGTCCCTGCTGGTCGTGGGGCCACCGTGCAGGGTCACGGCCTGTGTCCTCTGCAGCAGAGCTCGCCCAGCCCCTGGCGGACTGCATTTCCCGGGGCCGGGCTTCGGAGAGACACAGGCAAACAGGGCCCTGGTTCTTGGCCCCAGGTTGGGCCTGGGGTGTGGCCTGGATACCAGTGTGGGCAGTGCTGCGTGAGAGGCTGCCGAGGTTAAAGCTGCCAGGAAGCAAAGCTTCCTCTTTGCTCTGTTTCCCCCATGGAGGGCCGATGCTGGCCGCGTTTGCGGCTGTCTGGCTCCCCCTTGTGTAGAAGCAGAGGATTGCCCCGGGCAGAGGACAAGGCTGTTCTGGCCATGCGCCTCTCCCCACCTCCAGCCCGGCCCCTCTGGCAGCCATCCAGACTCTGCCTCCCAGGGCAGGTCGCCCGTGCAGATGCCTGTTTCTTGGAGACGACAGGCTTCAGGCAGCACACAGCCTGGGCCCAGCCATCAGGGCCGGTCGTGCCCCAAATGGCGCGTGAGACAGGTTCAGGGGGAAGCCAGAGGAGAGCCGCAGTGGCCTCATGTGTCCAGCAGCACATTCCCCTGTCCCCCTCGTCCGGTGACGCCTCCCATTGTAGCCCAGCCCCCAAGGGGCCAGGGTGCCCGGAGCCTCCCTCCACTGCTCCTTCAATGAACCCCGGGGGGGCAGACCCAAGCCCATTTACTGCCAGGAAGCAGGGAGGAGACGCGATCTCTCCCTCTGTCACCATGAAGGCGAAGGGGCCCCACCCAGCACCACAAGGGCCAGGTGGCCTTAGAAAAGCCCCCAAGTCTACAGGGACCTGCAGGCCTGAGTTTGGGACAACGTGGTGCCTGCGGCCACGTTGGTGCTCTCATTGCACTCTGTCCCAGGTCATGTTGCCTGTCCCTTGTAAACGAACTGCTGTCTCTGCAGCAACAAAGCTGAAGCAGGTTGTGCAGTCAGGCTGCTGAGCGCGGCTGCCGCCAGGAAGTGCAGGGTCCCGGGCAGGTGGCACCGCTCTTGCCTCCTGAAGAACCCGCCTCCCTTCCCCAGTGCGCCCTCCCCGGAGCTGCTGGCTGTCGCTGTAACTTCTCCCCACTGTGTGGCCTGGCCCCAGCAGGGACTGCGGGGACCCCATGGGGCAGGGGCTGTGTGCAGACCCCTTGAGCTCTGGGAGCAAGAAGAGTCCACAGGATTCTCTGGCAAGTCCTTGTTTCACTGAGAAACCGGCTCTCATGTCCAGTGGCTCCAGGTGGACTTGGGCTAAGGAAAAAGCACTTTGATCTTAGAAAAAGCACAGAGGGGTTGTCGGCCCATGAAGTCCTAGAGCTTTGGGAATTTACGGGACAGAGCTCTGCTTCCATGCAGCCGGGCCCCCCATGGCTGCGTCCCTGCCAGGGGCCCCCACGGAGGTGGGGGTTCTGACTGCAGATGGGAACCCTGATGCTCCAAGAATGAGCATTTCTGTTCTGTGCAAGTTGGCTGGTCATGGCAGAAGGACAGTGTCCCATCCCACCTCGTTCTTGTCACGTGACTCGGCTCAGAAGCGGGGCGGGCGGCACCCTGCTGGGCAGTCTGGGGAGGAGTCCACTCTGTGGGCCCCCCAGGCCGTGGTAGGTGCTCCTTCTCGAGCTTGGCCTTGGGTCTCCCTAGGGCAGCCACGGTGAGAGAAGCACCCAGAGGGAAGCGCTGGGTGCGCAGGCCGAGTCTGCTTGTGCGCGTCCACGGCGAGCGTAAAACTTGAAAGGACATCTCGCGGGGGCCACGTGTGTGTGACCCGTCTTGTGGTCTCGTCATTTGCCTCTCTGATTCACTCTGGCAATGAGATAACTTTTCTCTCTGCTTCCTTTCCTGTGGTGTTTCCTTCCTTCCCTCTCTCCTTCCCCTGACTGTTCATCTCCTCCCTCCTCCTCCCTGTCATCTCTCCCTTCCTCACTCCTTTCTCCTGCTGGAAACTGGGCACAGCAGCCACCAGGAGCCAGAGGCTGCTGCAGGCCCTGAGCTCGGCCGACCCCCTGGAGATCCAGGCGGATGTGCACTGGACGCACGTCCGGCAGAAGGAGGAGGAGGAGTGCACAGCGCCCAGCTCCGCACCCTCCACTTCCCGAGGTAACAGCGTCGGACCCCGCACCCGGGCCCCTCTTCTCACTGTGGGGATTTGCTGTCATGGCCAGAGTGACAGCCCTAAGGAAGAGCTGACAGACATTGTACTTTCTTCTTGTTGTTCCTGACCCTCCTTGAGCAAGTTCAGAGGTTGTGAGTTCTTTCCCCAGAGATGCAAAATGGCAGGATGAACTTGACCTTGGGGCATAAAGAGTGTGCTTTCTTTCCCCTGTATGATGAGGCCGGTTGCTCTTGCCCTGCTGGTGGAAGTCCAGCCCTTGGCCCGTGGGGTGTGCCTGGTGGTGTGTGTGCATTGGCAGGAGGGGCCAGGAGGCCCAGTGTGAGCAGGAGTGAGGTCTTCAGGGTACGTGGACACCAGGGAGGCCGTGAGTCGCTCTAGGCTGCGGGCAAGGTGGTCTGCACCCCCTTTTGGGCGCTGAGGATACAAGAGCAGGAGCCGCGTGATTCGCCCCCTTTCCGCCTCGTCTTGCTCACTGAACCTCATTTCCGTCCAGTCCCAGCGGGAACTGCGAATCTCTGAGGACGGTCCCTGCGTGAGGGGCGGTCCCTGCGTTCGTGAAACACCTTTCATGCGGTCGTTTGGTTCTCGCCTCCCAGCCCTGAATCTTCACCCACAGGCGGGAGCAGCCCCGGCGAACCGTTCCACAGCGAAGCAAGTGCACGCAGAGGCCCCACCGGCCTGGACTCGGGGGGCCTGAGCCCCCGAGCACCTGCCTGCACGTCCCCTCTTTTCCTGCAGTCCCTCCACACAGGCTCAGTGCCGGACCGCCCCCCCGGCGGTGCCAACAGGCCGGGCCGTGGTGCTGCCCTGGGGCCGCTGTCTTGTCTTGGACGTCAGGGGTGACGTGACCCTGCTTGGGGGGCCTCCTCCCTGTGTAACGTTGTGTTTGTGTCTGTTTTACATTCAGCGCCTGACCTCCCCTCCGTGCGCCGTGCAGCCGTGCAGGCCTGGCTGGAGACAGTGTCCGGAGGTAGCCGGGGTGTCTGCCCTTCTGCTCACCGTAACCGCTCTCTCAGCAGCTCCACTGACCCCTAACACTGGACTCCTGGTCCTGCGGCTGTGCATGCAGGGGCGGGGGCGGGGCACATGCATGCCTCCCCCGAGGGACCCCTGCATGGAGGGACACGCTCCCCACGCACCGCAGGGACAAGCCAGGTCCTGTTGGGGACAGAGTCTAGCGCTTCCTCTGATGCACAGAGACGGGGCAGAGGCCAGAGCTGCAGGAGCATCATTAGCACTGAGGTGTGAAGTCTGCAGAACTCAGCCTGGTGTGGACATGAAGGTGTCAGTGGACAGTCCACAGACCCACTGAAGCGTCGGGAGGAGGCAGCTGGTGCTGGGGGGACGGGTGGGACATTTGTGGAGGATGCAGATGTTGTTCAGCTTCAAGCAGAGGGACAGGTCTTTGGACGGAGGTGTGGGTATCTCTATAAGTAGTTAGGCCAAGAGCTGGCTGAGAAGCCTCACTTGTCCTTCCTAAACTTTTCTGGGGAGAAAAGTATTTCTCAGCAAGGAGCTCCTGGCATTTGGGGCAGGACCGTTCTTTCCACTGCAAGACGTTCGTGGCCTCTGCCCTCTGAATGCCCAGCAGCCGCACTCCCACCCACACGACGCACGCAGACGGCTGCACCGATACCCCACAGCAAGGGGGCTGCTGCACTCGAGGTTCCCTGGGTTGGGCAGGGCGGAGGAGCTCACGGGGTAGACAGCCTGAGGTATCAGGACCTCCCAGATGGCAGCTAAGTGTGGCTGCAACTTCTGGCCTCCATAGTGGGTGGCAGCTCCCAGCATCCTACGCCCTACCTTAACCTGGATCTGACCCCAGGCCACCCTGGCGCCCTCACCTGTCTGTGTGACACATGTGTTGTGACCTCCTGGGGCACCTCTGAGGCTTGTGGACTCTCATCTCTGCCTCTGCAGTGACTCGAGGGGCAGGCCAGGCTGAGACCCCGGGCATTAGGGCCTCAGGCTTCTCCAGATTTGGTGCAGGGTCCCCTCCTCAATGCCTGGTGGCACAGTGGCCTCCACGGCAGGCCCAGGTGCAGTTCCCACCAAGTCGAGGTGCCTGCAAAGGAGCAAGGTCCTGGCAGGGGCAGTGTCCACCAGCTGGGTTAGCAGGGCTGTGGTGCAGCTGTGACCTTGGCCTGCAGGCAAGTGGTGCAGGTATGAGGAGCAGAGGTGTCCCTCTCCCCAATGTGTGGGACCATCTGAGTCCCACCCCCCCAGGGTTTTCTCAGCAGATGCCGCTGTTGCAAGTACGAGTGGAGTGTGGCCGGCTCCCTGGGCTGCTCTGCCTGGGGGGTGGGACAGTCACCATCTACCAGCCCCTAAAGTGTCTTAAGAAACCCCGTCTCCCCCAAACTGGCACTGTTAGCCGAGACTTGTCAGTCCAGTGCTCTGAAGCTGGGTGCAGACCAGGCGCCCCATTTCAGAAACCTCAGTGTGTGGTCAGGGAGATGAGCACCCAGCCCGAGGAACCACTACCAGCGAAAGCTCGCGGCACTGCCCTGGCACCCCTAGGCCGAGGCCGGTGTCTGCTAAGTGCCTCTCCCCTCCCCTCCCCCGAAAGGTGAGCACTTCCTTGATTTTCACTGGACACTGACCTCAGCAGCCGCTCCCAGTGTTTCTGCCACACAGGCTCTGCACACTCTCAGGTGCAGGGCTGCCTGTGAGCAGACCTCGGCCCAGGCACCCGGAGGGGGGAGCAGGGCTGTCCTTGGTCAGCACAGCCTTGTGAGGAGTCCTGCGGCTGGCCTGCATGGCCCCCCTGTGCCCGCCGTCCTGTGAGCTCCAGTGCTCGGGCTCCTATACATACAGACCGGACTCCAGACCCTTCCCAGGGTGACAGACAGCTCTCAGCCATGATGTGGGGATGGCTGTGCTTTGAACCCGACAGGGAACCACAGGGCCCCAGACAGATGGGTGACCTGGTATTTCACAGCGGCCTTCCGAGCAGTGGCCTTCCTTCAGACTTTTAGTGCAAGCTTTGAGTGTGCAAAGGTCAGGGCAGCTGTGAGTATGAGTGTGAGTGCGTGTTAAGGGCCGGCGCTCCTCAGGGGAAACGAGTGTGTTAGTGCTTTGTCTGCCTTTGCAGCCCTGAAGGGCTAAGCCCGGGCCCAGCCTGTGGACCTCACACATCCCCTCTCCCCGCCCTGTGTTGCTTTAGAAAAGCACTTCTCTCCATCACCCCAAGCAGAGCTGCCACCTCTGCCCCCCTGCGGAGGGAGGTGCAGCATGGGCCACACCTCCCCCAGCGATGTCACTGATGCAGAACACTGCAGCCACTACACTGAGCCACACGGCCACGGCCAGTGTCGTCACCGACAGGAGTCAGAAACGGTTCCTCCAACTGCATTAAGGGACCCATGGTGTGGGGCACGGCCACACAGGGCCAGGCTGGTGAGCCCAGAGTGCTGCTGCTTTGCACTCGGGCTGCTGGGTCTGGGCCTGGAGCGGCCGCATCTCCCTGCCCTCAGCCTGGAGGAAGGAGGTGACTGGGCTGAGCGTGAGTCCGTGCCCACTTGACCCGTGGGAGAGTCTCAGGTGTCAGGAAGGTCCCCGCTCAGGGCGCTCTGCCTGTCCTCCTTCCTCCCCTTCCCTTCACACGTCTGCTTCCCAGGCCCATCAGATGAGCATGACCTGGAGGAAGATGTGGACTCGGAGCCAGCGGAGATAGAAGGGGAGGCCGCTGAGAACGGGGACACAGGGGACACTGGTGCGGAGCTGGATGACGGTACATGGACCCCAGACCCCCCTCCATGGGAGTAGCTTCCTGCCCCCCTCAGGGTGACGGGCCAGAGTGCTCTGCAGGAAAGGAAATAGGAAAAAGACTCAGGAAAGACTGAAACAGCATGCACTGGGCAGAAGCAGGGAGCTCAGGGAGCAGCTGCTAGACCTCCTGGTTCTGTTTGGCCCTAATGACCCCCACTGGGGAGTCCTGCGTGTCGTACACCCGCCCGCTGGCCACTGCTCAGTGCAGCCTGCACCTGTGTGGCCATGTGAGAGAAGGAGCTGAACTGGGGCCTCGTACAGGGGCCTGCAGTCCATGGGTGCTGTGTGAAAGCCATACACGGGGCGGTAGGGTTGCAGAATTCCACTTGGGTTGGTGGGGAGACAAGGGGCAGGGGCTGGGCTGGACGAGTTAGAGGGCAGTCCAGGCTGCGGTGTGGGGCAGCAGGGCTGGAGCCGCCCACAGGAGAGGAGCACTGGTGGGTGGTGGCCCCTGAAGCAAGGCCCACTCTCCCCAGGCACACCTGCTGGCTACCTTCAGCCTTGGCCTGTCAGCTGCGTGTCAAAGACGATGGAGCCCAGTGCTTTGCAGTGAGCACTGTGCTGCTGAGCGCGTGCATCTGGCCCGGCATCAGCCGCTGGCTGAGGAGCAGCGGACAGGCCCAGGCCTGGCTGAGCTGCCTGCTCTCCTGTCCCTCCACCAGATCAGCACTGGTCTGACGACATCCCCTGGGAGGCCGAGGCCGAGGTGCACAGGCAGCTGCCGGCGGCGGCAGCCACGGAACTGGAGCTGAAGGTCTCGGAGGACCAGGCAGCTTGGCCCACTGCCTCTCCGCAGCCCCGAGGGAGAGGTCAGTCTGCTGTGGCAGGAGAGGCCCCTCAAGGACAGTGGCACTGGGACGTCCACACACCAGCCTCAGATGATGGCCCCTGCCCCCTGTGCTGGGCCATGCATGCAGTTTCAGCACTAGCCCCTTTCTGGGTGTCACTGGGGCTATGAGAAGGAAGAAGGAACGGACCATCCACGTGACACAAAGCTGGTGCTTCTGACCCAGAGTGTGCATACAGGGCGCCGGGGGGGCCGGGGCCTTTGCTCCTCCTCCTGCATCTGCAGGCGGCCGAGGGCGCCCAGACCCCACCGCAGAACTGGCTGGGGGGGCCCATCCCCAGGAGTGGGTTTCCCCCGTCAGTCCCCTGGCTCTCTGCTGTGCAGGTCCCTCCCAAGTCTCCAGTCCCATCCGGTCCACTTTGGAAGAAGCTGCTCTGTTCCACCGAGTCCACAGCCCCACGGCCGAGGTAAGAGTTGGGGCTCACTGGCGGGGGCAGAGCTGGTGCCCCAAGCGGAAGTGTTGGAAGTTCCACCGTATTTGTGGGATCACTGGTGCAACAAGACAGGTGCATGTCTCCTTGATGTTTTGTTACAGTGAACTATGAATTCTAAGTATTTAGGAGAAAGAGAGAGAGGAAGAGAAACGTCGATGTGTGAGAGGTACATTGATCAGTTAGTTGCCTCTCACACACCCACTGCTGGGGACCTGGCCTGCAACCCAGGCATGTGTCCTGACTGGGAATCGAACCTGTGACCTTTCAGTTTGCAGGCCAGTACTCAGTCCACTGAGCCACACTAGCCACGGCAGAACTGTGAATTTTAAAATCAAAAATATTTACTCATCAAGTGGTATGTGAACCACACGTTAGAGCATAGAGGGTAAACGCATCGTAACAATGTCCCAGGGAACAGGCTTTGGAAAATACCTGGGGAGGACAGAGCAGGGAGGGAGGTCCGCACTGCAGGGTGTCTGCTGGGTCGGGCCTCGGGGGCCCTGAGCAGCAAGGCAAACATGGCGGCTGTGTGTGTGCAGTGGGGGAGCTTCCTGAGGGGGATGGGCAGGCATGAGTGGGGTTCACGTAGGGCTCCCTGGACCTTTGTGCCTCCCAAGGGGGGCGATTTATAACACAGGCTGTGAAACAGCTGTTTTTAATCCACTCACCAGGGACCCTGACGACGGGAGGGAGAGCAGGCCAGCACGCAAGGGATGTGGGGTGCATGCGTTTGAGGGGGGCCAAGCCCCAACCACGGAGTCGTCCAGTTGGGCCGAGCGGGTCTAAAACCGCACGCTGTGCAGAAGGTCCTCCTGGGGGCGCCGGAGCCGTGGCTGCAGGCCAGCGTGAGCACAGGCCCTCGGAGAGAGAAAGCTCCCCGGGGCTCTCTGCTGACCACCAGTCTTGGCCGCCTGAGCAGTGTCCATCTGTCTGTCTTCGTTTCTGTAGGGGGCCCGGGTCCCACTCCTGTCTGAGGTTGCCAGGTTGAAATCGCCCGAGGAACGCCTCTTCCCAGAGCTCTCGCTCCCCAGAGCAGACGTTGCTGCTGACCAGAAAGCCACGCCCTCTGCCGTCCAGACCCCGCCAGCAGCCCTGCCGCCTCCTTCCCCACTGGCCGCCTCTACCCCACTCCCCATTTGCTCCCAGCCACAGCCTTCCTGTGAGGCCACCGTCCCATCCCCCACCTTGTCCCCCATATGCTTCCAGCCTGGGCCAGCCAAGACGCCCACCCCTCTGGCCCCCGTCCCCATGAAGAACCAAGGGGACGCCCAGGACAGGCTGGGCAGCCCTCCGGCTGCGGACGAGGCTCTGCGGCGGAGTGACCTGGTGGCCGAGTTCTGGATGAAGAGTGCGGAGATCCGCCGCAGCCTCGGGCTCACGCCCGTCGATCGGGGCAAGGGGCCTGAGCTCAGCTTCCCCTCACCTGTCTTGAAGCCGGTGTCCCTCAAATCCTATTCAGTGGAGAAGTCCCCTCAGGGTGAGGGGCTCCATTTCCTGAAAGCTCCACCTGTTCCCAAGAGACTCGGCCTCCCGAAGTCGGAGAGTGACCAGCCCTGCCCGCCGACGCCCAAGTCCCCGTCCGACCGTGAGCTGAGGAGCGCCCACGAGGAGCGGAGGGACCTGTCCAGCAGCTCCGGCCTGGGCCTGCATGGGGGCTCCTCCAACACGAAGACCTGGGGCAGCCAGAGCCTCAACACCTCGGACTCCGCGGTGCTCACGCCCCCCTCCAGCCCGCCCCCGCCCCCACCGCAGGGCGAGGAGCCCGCCACTCTGCGCAGGAAGCCCCATCAGATGCGTGAGCGTCAGGAGACGGAAGCCAAGGCCTCAGGGATCCCACCGCCCCCACCGGCCACTGCCCTGCGGCCGCCCCGGGAGCCAGACCAGCCCCCCCGGGAGGAGGTGCGGAAGTCGTTCGTGGAGAGTGTGGACGACATCCCCTTCGCCGATGACGTGGAGGACACGTATGAGGACAGGACCGAGGACTCAAGTCTGCAGGAGAAGTTCTTCACGCCCCCGTCCGGCCTGCCCCTCTCTGAGAAACCGCTCCGGCCATCCTCGGCCAAGGAGAATGGTAGGTTGCCCAGTCTGGAGAGTGGGGTTCACCTGCAGAAGAGGGGGCTGCCCGTCGTCTCTCCGGAAGCCAAGGAGCGGGCCGAGGAGCGCATGCGGGCCCGGGAGAGGTCTGTGAAGAGCCAGGTGCTGAGGGACGCTATGGCCACGCAGCTGCGTCAGATGAGGGAGATGGAGACGGGGGCCAAGGCCTCCAGGCCCCCTGGGGGCACCGGCCGCAAAGCCTCCTCAGGGCCCTCCAAGGGCAGAGGCCCAGGCCTCACGCCCCACAGAGTTCCGGAAGAGCCCACCGCCAAGCACAAAGCCACCAGTGAAGAGCTCCTGTCGCCCGTGTCCGACTCGGGGCCCCCCGATGGCTCGCTTACCTCCTCTGAGGGCTCCAGTGGGAAGAGCAAGAAGAGAGCGTCACTCTTTTCCCCACGCAGAGCCAAGGGGCGGGCAGCCAAGGGGGAGGGTCGGGCCCCTGAGAAGCCCAGCCCAGACCTTCCAGAGGAGGCAGCCACCAAATCCAGGTCCTTGTGGAAGTCGGTCTTCTCTGGGTACAAGAAGGACAAGAAGAAGAAGGGAGACAACAAATCCTGCCCCAGCACCCCCTCCAGTGGGACCACCGTGGACTCAGGGAAGCACCGGGCATCGCCCAGGCTGAAAGCAGGTGTGTGCACACCCAGGACCCCCCACACCCCAGCCCAGGGCCCTAGAGCTGTGCTGACTCGGGAGGGAGAAGGGACGGGGGCCATGGGAGGGCAGCACTGCCTACAGACTGCAGCCTCCACGCTCCGGCTCCTTGGGTGGGGACAGTCACTCAGGTAGACACCACCCAGACCCCCAGCTCAGGCCAGTGCCCCTGCCGCCCTCACCCGGCCCTGCCTCTCCCCGCAGAGTTGCAGCTCCGACGCCAGCTCAGCTTCTCAGAGGACTCGGACCTCTCCAGTGATGATGTCCTCGAGAGCGCCTCCCAGAGGTCGAAGCGAGAGGTGTGCAGGCCAGTGGGCAGCTGTGGGGTGGGGGGCTTCTGTGGCTCAGGACCAGGGCTGCTGCCCTCCGTGCAGAGCCAGAGGGGCAGGCCGAGCCTCACCCAGTGGTGCAGGTGGGAGACGCAGCAGGACCAGCTCAGGCTCCTCAGGGAGCAGCCAGGGCTCCCGCATCCAGGGCAGGAGTTCCTGGGCTCAGTTCCGGGAGACGGGTGCTCAGGCCCACACACTCCACCTGTCTCTGAGGAGCGCCCCGTGCTGTCCCTCCACTTTTTTGTGCCCCGTGAAGCAGCACTGCCCAGGCCAGACATGGGCCCTCTCTGCCCAGGGCCTCTGGAGGCTGCAAGGACCTGGTCTCCATCATCCAGCCCTGGGTACATGCTCCCCACTGCCCCCCGCCCACCCAAGGGGAGGTCTAGCTGCCTCCTGCTCCCCCTTTTGAATGGAAAACTCCCCAGAACATTCTGCACCTTCTTTACTAAGCTTCCCAGGACTTGGCCTTGCCTGCCAGAGAGGCTGTGGCGGGCCTGCATCCCGCTCGCTGCTCCTAGCCTGGCCCAGTGCCTCTTTCGTGGTTTGGCGAACCAGAGGAAGCCAGTATTCCCGCTGTCATCTCACTCCTGAGACGTTTATCCCCCCGGACCATTCCAGTGCTGCATCTGTCCTCCTAGAAGGAGACGAAGGGAGCTCCTGTGTGCCAGCCCCGCGGGGACTTGGTGGAGGCCTGGCCCTGCCCGGGGTCCCGCGGGGGCCTGGCGGGAAGGAGCATGTGGTCTCCATGTGGACGAGCAGACCAGTCAGTCCCCAACTTCATCTGTGGTTGCTTCTGCGGTCGGGTCTCTGGGCCGTCCCTCTATCAGTCAGTGAGCTGCCCTGCACCACTCCGAGCGGCAGCTGCCAAAGCCACAGCTCAGGGAGCACAGCCTCTCCCTGTGGCGCACAAGGCGGCAGGTCCCGGACCCGCTCCCAGAATCCCACCCTTCATGTTGCACACACTCCCACAGGGGCGGCCGTGGAGGCAAGCAAATGTCCTGATGCCCACTGGGATGCGGGCGAGCTCAGTGGGAGAAACTGCTGTTTTAAGAGGAGAAGCTAAAGGTGGAGGAACTGAGAGGGACAGATGGGCCGTCACAGAACAATCCCAGGACGTCAAGTGCAGCACAGGGAGCGCAGTCAGTCGTGCTGTGGTTACTGTGCAGGCCGCCGGGCAGGCACTGGGAACACGGGGGCCGCGCCCTGTGAAGTGTGCGGTTGTCTGACCCCTGCGCTGTGCACCTGAAACCAGGACAGAGTCGTGGCGACTGCCCACTGTCGCTGGAAAGACTGGGCGCTCCCGCAGGGGAACAAACTGAAGCAAAAGCAGCTGTGGGTAGTTGGAGGCAGTCTGATCACAGCAGACACGCACAGGCGACCACACCGGGCCCTGCGGTGTGAGTGTTGAGTGCTGGTCCTTCGGCTGTGGTTGCAGGCTTTCCCAATGCTGCTCTGGGAAGCCCCGTCTTCCGTTCCCTTAACTGACTTGTTCGAGTAGTGAAATTCTTCCTCTCAGGTGATTGGTGGGAGTCGTGGGTCCACCGAGAGGCAGGGTCCACACGCTCACATTTCGCCACCAGGAGCCCTGGGAACGGTGGGTCTGAGGCTGCAGCTGTCCAGAGCTGCAGCCCCATGGGCCGGGCGGACCGCAGCTCTGACCCCCTCCGCTCTGAGAAGCCCCATGCAGGGCTTGCTGGAGCCCAGATACAGTGTCTGCCTGCAGCATGTCTGATAGAGGCCAGTCGTTCCTGCTGTTTCAGGTCCTTTCCCTGTGCCCCCCCCATCCCAGCATTGCTAGTGGTGGAGGGACCCCTGTCCTTCCCAAGGAGCCCTGCCAGGGGTGGGGGCCTTTGGAAGAGGGCAGAGTTCAGCACTCAGCTTGCTCCGTGTCTGTCTCTGGGGCCGGGCCCCCACCCCAGGCCCTGTCCCAGCACCTGCATCATTCAGTGGGAAGGCGTCCTCCGAATTGCCACAAGCAAATGGGCTGCTGAGAGAGCAGTGGCATCTGTAACCACCTACTTAAGCAGTTTTAACGTACACTTGAGGGAGCCTGAGGAGGAACAAGAGAAGGTTGGGGGCGTGAGGAAGAAGCCATGTTCCTGGGAGAGCTGTGAGCCCGGCCCAGGTCAGGGTGGGGCTCCTGGGGGCCCCACAGGGGGGTCTGCACCCAGCCCTGTGTGACATTCTAAAAAATAATCAGGTTGTGGCCTACGTATTTGTTTTAAACTTACGGTTTTGCTCCATTTCTGTGTTTTGTTTTTAATGATTATTGTCATTGCTGTTCTGTTTTGTTTTCCGTCTCCATTCCTTTAAAAGTCGGTACCTTTGCCCCAGGCCCTGGCGTCCGGGAGGCCGTGTGCACCGAAGGTAGTAGCCCATCCTGCCCGCCGGTCGCTGTTGCATGTGTGTCTGCGATTAACCACGGCGCCAGCCCCCGCCACAGCTCACTAACCGTCCTGCGTGCATGGGGCGGTCACACACTGCAGCCACTGTGTCAGGACTGGAGGGCATGAGGGCGGCGTCGGTCTGCGCGCTGGGGACCGGGCACTGCCGGACGGGGTCCACGGCCCTCAGCCCCAGGTCTGCGAGGGGACGAGCTCAGGACACCAGAGCAGCAGGACGCGGGGCCGCCTGCGTGCTGGGCTCCGGCCAACCCCCGCCCGCCCGGCTCTGAGGACGGAGCTGACGAGGGTGCACAGCTGCACTACGCTTGAGTGTCTCCTGCTCGGTCGAGAAAAGTCTCCTTTTTCATTTTCATGGTGACTGTGAAGAAGGCATTATGATTACAGGCAAACCCTCCCAAAGCCGCCTCTCAGAGGTGCCCAGTGCCCCTTTGGAGCACCTGGCACTGCCTCATGCCCTCACTGCCCACCTCTGCCCCTGGAGCGGCCCTGGCTGTTTGCTGCTGGAGTCAGCTGGGTTTGGCCAGTGGCTGCCTTCACTCTTCACGGCACCGGCTGAAACAGCCCTGCCCCTGCCCTTCTACCGGAAGCTGCTGGGCAGCCCCCAGGGTCCAGGCAGGGTTACCCCTGTGGTTCCTTCTTCAGACTGTTAGCTGGTTCGGGGTTCACTCAGACTCAAAGTAGAAGCATCGCTGTTTCTCTGATTCAAATGCCACTTCCTAAAAGAAGCATATAAATATCACTTATCTGAAGAGAGTGGCTTTTGGTACCAAACCAGAACAGCAGGGACCCAGATTTTCCTTTGACTGCGTGTCTTCTGTAGGCAGGAGGCGTGGGAAACATCTTACCGATATTTTTACCCTGGAGAAGCCCTAGAAAGAGCAGACAGCCTTGTATGGGAAAGGGGTGAACGCTGGGTCGCGCCGGCCCCCCGGCTGTCGTCCCCGAGCCTCCTTGTTCCCGTCACTGCAGGAAAGCATCTCCCTGTGGCATTGTGGGCTGCAGCCTCGGGGTCTTCACACACTGCACACAGGTGTCCTGCCACCTGGAGCCAGGCTCTCGGGCCCCTGCTGCCCAGGGCCACCTGCTCAGGGCTGTGTGCACCTGACCGAGGAAATGTCTCGTCCTCCCCAGCCGAGAACTTACACGGAGGAGGAGCTGAGCGCCAAGCTGACGCGGCGGGTGCAGAAGGCAGCGCGGAGGCAGGCCAAGCAGGAGGAGCTGAAGCGCCTGCACCGAGCCCAGGTGAACCCAGGGGCAGCCCCAGCGCACGGGGGACTCACGGCCGACCCTCCTTCCAGGCAGCTTCACCCCAACCCCCGACGAGGGAGGCTGTGGAGGACAGGGCAGAGCAGAGGTGGAGGGGGAGTCCCCTTGCCTGAGAGGGTGGCCCCCGAGGCTCTGGCCACAGGCCCCTGGCTCCCTGCAGCTGCACACGGAGCCTCAGCGTGGTAGGGCTGCTGGTGGGAAAGGGAGGAGCCGCACGCCCTGTTTCTGAGTTCCTCACGGTGGAACCATCACCGCAGAGCCACTCGTTCCCCGGTGAGGACGGTGCTTGAGGGGCTCCGTGACCTGTGACCCGCGGAGGGGTCTGGGATTTCCTCCCCAACGTCGGCCCCTGTCTGCGGGCCCCCCAGGTCCCAGAGCACCTGGATTGGGGGCAGGGAGACTAAAAGTAATTTCTTTACACAAAGTATTAGAAGATACCTGAACACAGTATGGTTTTTTAAACACAATCATGTGTATTCAGAAAGTCCACTTGTCCAAGCCACTGAGACGCCTGAACAGCACACACAGAGACCAGCTGGTCCTCCTTCTGGACCCCACGTCTCGCCAGTCCTGTTCCTGCAGGTCCCTCCAGCGCATCTTCTCGGCACCAGACGCCACTGGCTGCCACGTGGGGACCCGGACATCCCCACTGGTGCTCAGGACCAGCCCCCCACACACACACTTCAAACAGGCTGTGGCTGGCTGCCCCACCCTAGATCCACTCTTTCCCAGGGCAGAGAGAGGAGGTCACCGTCAGAAAGGTCCCGGGCTGTGGCACTTGAGTCCTTCCTGCAGGAGTTCAGTCCACTCCTGGTGGGCTGGCCACTCCTTGGCACCCCACACACGAGGTGCGTGCTGCTAATGCTCCAGGGCTCACACGCATACTTCGTGCAGGGAAGCATCTGTCTCTCTCCTCCGGGCATCTGCAGAGCACCTGACCCCTGGCAGTGAGGAGAGGCCAGGTGGTGAGAGACGGCTCCCCTGCGTTTTTGTCCCCACAGATCATCCAGCGGCAGCTGGAGCAGGTGGAGGAGCGGCAGCGGCACCTGGAGGAGAGAGGGGTCGCGGTGGAGAAGGCACTCCGTGGGGAAGCAGGTACTGCCGGGTGCTGGGCGGGCTGTTCTGCGGGAGGCCTCGCCCACCCACATGGAAGGGCTGGCTGTGCGTCACCTCCGCTTTCTCTCGGGCAGGCACCTCTGGGCCCCTTCAGCACTGAGGTTCGGGGCTTCCTGGGGCTCCAGGGGCGGAAAGCCGTCTGTGTGGGTGGCCCCAGGCCCGCTGCCCTCTCTGCCCTGACTGAGGCCGCGCCGTCGGCCTACAAGGAGGACTCCTGGTCCACATCCTCGGTTGCTGGCAAGTGCTGGCCTGCCCCCTCCCCGCCCCGTCACTTTCTCTAGGAGGAGAGACGGGGGGAAAGGGAGCCCACACCACAAGGACCATCACAGAACTGCAGGGCCTGTTCGCTCCCCACACCACGTACCGTCTGCTCTCTGGTCCCCCTGCTGCCCTAGGCTCTCACGGCAGTGCAGGCCCCCCACGGAGCCCTCCCCACCTCCCCGGGCGCAGTGCGCTGATGCCTGTGCAGCCTGGCCACCCAGGGCCCGTGGGCAGGCGCGGGGACTGTCGGGAGCCGGCACCGACGGGGTGCTGGGCAGGAGCCACGAGGGCTGTGGGCCGGGTGGCTGCCGATCGAAGAGGATCTGCAGCCACATGGCAGCACCGCCGCTGACCAGGGAGCCTGCGGGCGGGCTCAGCATGGTTGGGTGGAGACAGAGCAAGGAAGTCCCTGAGTCGTCTGGAGTCCCTGTTGGTGCAAGATGTGGAAACTGCTGGGCCAGCCCGGCTGCAGCCCGACATGGGCGCGGAGGGCCTGGTTGGTATCAGCCTTCGCCAGAGTCGCATGTCTCGGCCGTCTGTACACAGAAGCTCCTCTCCTACAGGCCTCTCCTGGGCAGAGGGGCTATGGCAGGCCACCCGGAAGCCCAAGGGGAGCCAGTGACCACAGCCAAGAATGGGGCCTGCTTCTGCGCACTGACCAACCTGCTGGCGAGCTCCCTGGTGGGGTGGCCTCATCTCAGGAGCCTGGGGTCAGATGGACTCGGGCTCTCAAGGACAGACATTCCCCAGGGGAGCGGGGCCCAGATGTGGAAGGAGGCCTGGACACCACAGCCTGGGGCTCCTCAGTGAGGCCCCGGAGGGAGGTGGCCCAGACCCACCAGAGAGGCGCTGCCCTCACCGCTCCCTCCTCTGGCAGAAGACCCCGGGCAGGGGCCCGGCCCGCCCTTCCTCCTGCGCCTCGCTGCAGGTTACAAAAGAAAGTGTCAGAGTGGAGAGTGAAGGGTCACTCAGCAGGCATGTGCCCCCGGGTCTCGTGGTTCGCAGACGTGCTTGGGGAAGACGTCCTGCCTCCCTCAAGCACAGACAGGTGCTGAGGCTCAGGTGGGCGGCCCCACCGCAGGTGCTCCCCGCTTGGCACAGTCTGAGTCCACGGCGTGCCTCAGAGTCTCCCCAGCAGACCGCCGGCCGCCTCAGGGACAGAGCGAAGCACACCGTCAAAGCCTGGCGTAGGATTTCCCCCAAATCCTTCCTTCTGGGCGATTAGATAATTACCTTTTCGTAAACACATGCAGCCGGGATTTCATCTCAGTCCGTGGTTTTCAACCTTGATGTTTAGCAGCCTTTTTACACATCAGTTCAAGTCTAACTCGAGAAGAATTACTCTAGAATGTCAGTCAACACAAAGTGGAAAATGCAGGCTTTGGTGGAGAGCCACCTCTACTCCCAGCACACGTGGGGTGGGAACCCCCGGACACTCGGGCGGTGGCCGTGACGAGTAGCAGCTGTAGGAGCACCCAGGGCACGTGGGGCACGTGCGGTGGAGCAGCTTCCACAGTCAAATCGCGGGTGGACCCATCGGCAGCCCACGCGCTTCCTAAAGAGGAGACACAGAGAAACACTGCATGCCTGGACGTGCGGTGACCACGTGCCCGGCTCGGCTGGAGGCTGTGACGTGCGAGACACCTGCCCAGAGGACCTCGAGTGACGGGGGTGCTACTGCCAGCACGTGGATGAAGGAACGCATGTCGCCTGCCTGGCATGTTCACAGGGAATGAAAACGGTCACCAAAGCAGCAGAAGAAACAAGGTTTACCCAGCACATGGGTCCCGTGTTGATGGTCTTCGGCGGATGTGAGATCGGCACATCAAACCTTTGAACGTGGCGTGTCTGATTTCAGTTTTTACATGAGTTGAAAGTATTTGCAAATCAGGTATTTGAAGACCCCTGAAACTGGAAGAGCCCTAGGGTTCCACAAAACAGCTTGAAAACCACCGTTCTGGCCCAGAGAAATACACCTCTCTCCAGTCTACAGACAGGCTTGGGTCGCTGCGCTGGGAGACCTCCCAAGACGCATCTGTGGAGTTCTGCGTCTCTGGCGGCGCTTACCGTAGGATATGTATATTCCCAAGCACAGGCTTTTCCTTTCCTCACTGCAGCCCATCTCTCCATGGCTCCCCTTTCGTCAGAAGTCGGCGGCCCTGTCCCTACTGGGCAGAGGTCGTCGACCCGGAGGCCTGTCCTTGTGCGCTGGCTGCTCTGGGTTGCTTCTGGCCAGTCGGGCACTACAATCTGAGTCCCCAGTGATGCTAATCTGCCCTGTCTCCGGGGGCCCACGTCTGGGCAACTGCAGACGGCACAGTCAGCCACGCCACCCTTCCAGGGAAGGCATCTGGCTGGAATGGACCTCCCGCCAGCCGTTGGTCTCCCCTCGCTCAAGGCACATGGACACCCAGAGCCTTCAGCCACGACACAGACGTGAGTTCTGTCTGGAGCACCTGGAAGCCCTTGCTGTTCCCAGACCCTGAGTCACACTTGAAGCGCTGGGTCAGCCTTGAGCTGCGTTGGAAAACCACCAGCTTTGCTTTCTTTTTTCTGATGCACCCGCTCTCGAGGGGCAGCTCTGGCAGGGAGCAGAAGGCGGCCAGGGTCAGCGTGCAGGCCACGAGGCCCAGCTACCCGGGGGAGGAAGAGCAGCCGGTGTTTGCTGGTCTCTACATGAATTCCTGACTCTGGGTGTATGAGGGCCGCCTGTGAAGCCCAGCCCCTCGGCCTGGCCCCATCTCTGCATCTCAGGCGTGCGAAGCCTGTGACATTGCTTCCGGGACAGCCACACAGAGCTGAAAGCCAGGCGTCCGGTGGCTGGCGGGCCTCCTTGAGCCTTTGGGCAGTCACAGCCTGTGGCCCCCTTGCTCCGGGAGGGGGCCACCGAAGCTGGGGCCCTGACCTCGGAGGGGCAGCATCTCCTTTATCTCGACACCCCCCCCCCCGCCCCCGGCAAAAGGCCCAGGTGCGCTCCCAGCGGGGCCGAGTGCGTGCTCTCCGAGTGCGCTGGCTGCCTTCACACCCGCGGCCGGAGGCCTTGCCTGGCGTTCCCGGGTGTTTCCCGCCTGTCTCCAGCCCTCAGCCTGGACCGTCTAATAGTAGCTGAGGAAGGAGCTGCCCCTGCTCTGCCCTTGAGTATTTTAAATCTCAGGTGAAGTCTCATCCTAGCGGAGCTGGGATTCCCCACAAAGCCAAGGCCTTTCGTCCTCGCTGGTCATTGGAGGTGTCAGCAACGCTGTCACCTATGACCCACCCAGGGGGTTAGGGACCCACCCCCAGCCCCGGCAGGAAGGGTGCAGCCCAGCTCGTGTGTGTGCCCTGAGAGGTGCATGCGTCCTGGCCATTCCTCTCCCCGTCTGGCTGCATCTCTGTCCCTTGCGCTTCTTGTTCTCGATTGCATTGGGGGATGGGGGGGGGTTAGGGTTAGGGCTGGGCTGTCAGGTCCAGTAACTGTCTTCACCGGTTCCTGTTGTAGACTATTGGGGAGAGTCTTGTTACAGTGGCCTCATCGACTTGCATCTGGGTGGTATGTATGGCGGCACCTGTTGCTGACACTAACCCGCTGACCATCCCCCCCAAGCTCCTTCCTCAGTCCCTGCTCACAAAGGGCAAGAAGCAATCAGCCCAGTAACTGAGTGGCACAGCACAGGCTCTTTTCCGGCCTGGAGGAGCAGCAGAGGTCTGTGCCCCCTCCCCACCCCACGGGCTTCAGGGAAGAGCGGCAGTGGCTCCTGCCACACGGTGCCACCTGAGTTCCTTAAGATCGATGTTTGCCTGTCCCGCCAACCTTGCATCTGCACCCGGGTCCTTCTGGTACCATTTGGGTGGTTTGACATCCAGCGCGTGCACCCACACACACGCACTCACAGTCCAGCACGACCTCACCGCACAGCTGGCAGGTGGCATCCTCTGGGAGGCTCACATTTCCCCCAGGAGGCCTGAGTGCAAGGGGAAGGACACCTTGGGCAGTGTTGACAGGTGTCGGTCACAAGGGCCCTCCTTCTGTCCCTCAGTCCCTCTGTCCGAGGCTGACCTGGTGGGCGGGGCCCCAGGGCCACCCATCAGCTTTGAGACCTGGGAGCTTGTTAGATACACAGGCGGCCGCTGCCCACCCGAGGCCTGCCGCGTCAGAAACCACGGGGGTACCCCAGGCCCTCGGAGGTGGGAGGGCTGCCACCTTGGACCTGTGCTGTCATTTGTACTAGATGAGAGGGACATGAGCCCACAAGCCTTATCTCCAGACGCTGGGCCGTCTTGCCCCTGGCAAGACAGCGGAATCTGATGCTCTGTCTAGAGGCCAGCCACATGGCCGCTCCCAAGGTGAGTGGGGCTCTCCAGCCCCCACGCCCTGGTCGGGCAGCCTGGCCTCCCCACCTGCCCAGCCAGCTCCTTGCCTGCAAGTGGCCTAAATGCACAAACTGCTGTGGCTCTGCAGTTCCTGTCATGAGCCGCCCAGGGGGCCACCGGGCTCCTTGCTTGGCAGCTGCGCTGGGTGTCACTGATCTCGGCCCTCTGCCCAGGGTTGTCCAGGGACTGGCGTGCTTGTGGCCATCGAGACCGCGACAGGGCTGATGCTTCCACTCCGATTAACAGGCCCCATTTCTTACCTAATGTCCTTTCCTGCCTCCTCCTAACAGTCCCAGGGGATGTTTGTCTCATTTCTAAGTGAAGCTCTGTGTGAAAATGTTTTGTTGTTTTTATTTTATTCAAATTTCCTGGAAGGGACTGTGAAAACCCATTTCTTTAGGATCGTATTCACCCTCCCTTCCCAGTTCGCTAAGTGCCCCCTACATGTGGTTTAGTTTTCTCTGTCCCTGTTGCGTGAATGACAGGTGTCGCCGGCTATTTTCGTTTTCATGTCTCTGGGCTCCATCTCTGAGCTTTTCAGATTTAGAATCCCAACAAATTGCAGAGGGAGATGAAACAGATTTTAAAGACAAGGAACACAGCGTGTGTTCTGAACTACAAAATGCCTGGTGGTCCCTCCACCCGACTGTCACCGTCTCTTCACTCCTTCAGCTCCCGTGATTCCTGTGTGGCAGTCAAACTTGTCCCTGGCTTCTGACCACCACACGGAAGCAGGAGAGACGCTCCTACCGGCGGGCGTCCCAGTGTCCCCAGGCAGAGGGCCTGCTCCCAGGGGCCCTGGAGGAGCCAGTACCACAGTGGGTCCTTTTCAGACCCTGCCAGCTTCCCACCCTGGGGCTCTTGGCCGTAGTCATTGTTTGGGGGAAGCAATTGTCCTTCTGAGCACTGAAGCCTGAAAGGTGGACCCTGATTGCACCTGGGTCCTGCGTCCCCCTCCCCGAAAGGCTGCCCATGGCCCATCGCTGGGCCGGCTTCGTCGTTCGCAGTTGTGAGCGCACAAAACAGAGTTTATTCTTTTATTATTTGTTAATTATAGTATCATGTTTCAATACGAACAGCTGCACACCCACGTTGGCCCCGCCCTGCACGCACCTGATTTTCAGAGAACAGGAATGGCTCCGAAATGTAGCCTGAGGCCTGGACGTGGTCTCTCACGACTGCGGCGTTCCGGGTGGGAGGCATGGCCGGGCCCCGAGGCTGCCCCCTGCCCTCCCTCTGGGTCTTCCTGTCCTGGTTGCCCCTTTGGTTTGATGTGGGCAGAACTGGCTCATCTTTTCGGTCTGAGCCTTAACCTGGCTCTGTCTTTGCTCAGGAACTTTGGAGTCCTCACGATTTCCCAGCGTTCTCCTGTGTCTGCGTGTGGATGTGCATGTGTGTGTGTGTGTGTGTGTGTGTGAGCACACATGGGTGTGCTGGATCTCCGGTCTCCAATGCCGGGTTTTTTTGTTTTGTTTTTTTTCATTTTCCTTTTTTGTGTTCTCCATTTCTCTGGAGATCCACTCTGCGGTCAGTTTCACTCCCCAAGGCGCCCCTTGGACCTGCTTTCTGTGTGCAGGTGCAGGTGGTGGCTCAGCTTTTGGAAAGCCCACTTTCCTCCTGATGTTTGTGTGCGGTGCTGAGCCCTCTGATCCCTGGCCACAGCCAGCCATCCTGCGGGAACAGCAGCAGCCTGGGCTGGGACCTCGGGGACCCCGCCAGCTCCCTCCTGGTCGGCCCCTCACTGTGCTGGGCCAGCCACCGGCTGGACACTGGCCTGTGGCTGGAGCAGGACCCTGGGATTGGCCACACCGGGCTGCCCCCCCCACCTCTCCCCATGAGAAATGCACCAGACCCTTCTCCCTCAGGGGAGAATGCCCCAGCCTCAGGGGTTCTGACAACCAGAGGGACAGAAGTCAGACTGCGTTTGCGTGCATTTTGTGAGGACATCCAAGCTCGGGTCCTGAGTCTTGGCTGGTTGTTGGTTTCCTGTAAGCCGATAGGATGCGGGGAGGGGCCCAGGGCTCTGAAGTGAGGTGTCTCAGACACAGCCTGTTGGAGGGAGTCGGAGGACGATGGAAACAGAACAGACAGCTGCAGAGAAGGAGTCGCCAGAGGATCTCCCACCTTTCCCCACCGCAGGCTGTGCAGCCTTGGGCCGCATAAGAGGCAGAACCTGGAGCGAGGCGTCGAGGCCAGGGAGTGCATGGAGTGCAGTGAGCGCCCCAGCCAGGTCACATCCTCTCTGGCCCTCTGCAGGGACTGCAGGGCAGGGTGACTGTGCCACCTGATCAGGCCTGCATGTGACTATCCAGCTGCAACCAGGAACCACCTGCCGAGAGACCCCTCTTCCTCCTCTGTCCGGGCCTTTACGGGGCAGACTCTCAGTTCAGCATAGGAAGGCAAGCCTGGGTTTTGGCCACGTTCAGGTTCTGGGAGCCTCGGACGCCTGTCTCCGGACACCATCACAGGAGAGAAGCTGGGGCCTATCGGGGGCCGCACGGGGAGGGTCCATGATACGCAGAGCTGGCTGCACCCGGGCTCACTGCTGCCCCTGGGACGAGCCAGATCGTGCCTCTCTGGGCACTGGCTCTCTGCTGCTCCTGACAGCAGCTGTCACCTGCCCCTGGGGGTCACGGCAAGTGGTCACACTCTAAGAGGACATGCCACTGCGGAGGGAACAGCCCGCTGCCCAGGTGGCAGGGCAGGGAGGGCAGGAAGCCCCTGCCAGGACCGAGTCCCGGGGTCACTGGAGTTGGCCTGAGGGGTGAGACAGAGTGGCTGTTACAAAGGGACAGAACCCCTGCATTTAAAATTCTTGACCTGTTTGCTGTGAGCTTGATGCCATCTTTGCCTTAGAATGTGGGGACCGGTCCCACTCCTCAGAAAAGGCACCCAGACCAGGGCCTCTGCCGCCCACGCTCACTGCAGGCCAAGGCTGTGTACAGACCCCGGGTCCCACTCAAGCTTCCCCTCGGTTTTCACCCCTCGGGTTCTCGTTAAAGCCATCCTTGTCGGCTGCGTTTCCTGATCACTAAAATAGCGTAGATTGTGAACAGTCCAGAGCCACACGGTGAGGGCCCACCAGCTCCCCTCAGGACCCTCCTGCCCTCAGCCCCCTGCCGCAGCCTCGGTGATGGACCACTGGGTTTTTTTAGGCCTTTGCTTCACCCAATGCTCCCTGCTCTGACTTCATTTCTTGGTTTCTGTTCTGAATGTTCTGCAAGGCCCTTCCGTCCTCTGCACGTGGAAGGGCCTCTGAGGGTGTGGTCGGCCTGAAGGGAGCCAAAGGCCGTGCCCTGTGAGACACGTGCAGACACGTCTAACTCACGGTGCGTGTGTGTCATGTTCCTGTGCCCTGCACATGGGTGGGGCGACGTCCCTCCCAGGATTTGGCCTGGGTGCTTGAGCACAAGTGTCCTCAGCACAGGCTCTGCACTGTCGTCACAGAGAAGGCTGAGGGCAGTCCAGCCGCACAGTGCCGAGAGCAGCGGGTGTGACCAGCATCTCGCACACTTGCCCCCACGGCTCTGGCTGCAGCCCTGAGTTTCGCCAGAAACCAGACGGGCACGCGCAGCACTGTGGAGGGAGAGAAGTGGGGCCTGGGGCTGTCCTGCTGTACAGCAGGGGCCCGGAGCCAGGTGTGTGTGAGTCTGTCTGTCTAGTGGCTGGAGCAGGCTCACTGCTCACACCGTGTCCTCGTGGTAAAGCCACCCACTCACCCGCCAGCCCCGGAGTCCCCAGGTGTGTCTGCTGGGCGTGCCCCGTGCGCCCCTGTGGTTCTGTGATGGTCCCTGCTGAGCTCCCTCCCACCCCGGGTCACTGTCAGCTGTCAGCTTCCGAGCTGTGTCTGCGCACTGTCCTCTCCCAGCCGCCCCGTCCACGGCCGTCAGTGTTGGCATGTCCTGTCTTACAGTCCGGAGTGTGACAGCCTCCCCTGCTGTGGCATTGGACCCCTCTGTGCAGATTGGGAGGAACAGGAGAAAAGGGGGGTGGCTCTCGTTGGCACCTGGGGGAGCAGCTCGGCAGCCCGAGCAGCGCACGTCTCGGAGCAGGGCAGACCATCCCGGAGGGGGGGCAGCTCAGCCCCACCGGAGCACTGTCGGTGCGGAGCACGCGTGTCTGCACGCGTGGGCGCCGGCTGGGCAGGCGCCCAGGGTCACCACCCGCAACCGAGCAGCAGGTCTGCTCTGCAGAGGCCGACCTGTGCTGGGGCTTTGGGCGTTTTTGAGGAGGGAACCCAACACCCAAAAGTTGGAAGGCCCCTGTGTGGTGACACCCAGTGCCACTGCCCCTCAGTGAGGACTGGAGGATGGAGGAGCAGCCCACCCGGAGCTGCTGGCCGCCCGCCAGGGAGCGTGGGCACCTCGGGGGCCGCCCCAGCCGGGTCTGCGCTCACCCGTCCCCACGTGGAAGGAGGACGTAACTCATGTGCAGACTTTGTTTCCCTTGTTTCTGCTTTTCCATTTCTTGTATTTTTTTTCTTTTCCTCCTGTTGCTCCTTTCTCACCTTTATGCTTTTTGTCCTCTGCTTGTTTTTGTTTCACCGTCCCCCCCGTCTCTCTCCACGCCCACACTCCTCTCCTCTTCGTGTGTCTTTCTCCGTCTCCTCCTTCTTTTCCTCGTTTGGTCCTTTTTGAAGTTGAGCCCAGTGGCGGGACTCCACGGCGTAGACCTCTCTCCTTCTGCCCTTGCTGTGTCCAGGAAGGTAACGTAACCCCCACCCCACTGCCTCCCGAGCCGTAGCAGCGCTCGCTAGTTGAAGAGGGACCCACTGCCCAGCTGTCTTTCTCTCTCTCTCTTTCTCTCTGACCCCCGAGAGCCCTGTTTCAAAACTCCATGAGTGTGCGGCAGTTTCTGACAAGGCACAGTATCCCTTGGACTGTCTCAGGGGAGGATGGGGAGTGGAGCGAAGCCAGGGGCCTGGAGGCCAAGCGGAGAGTCCCAGGATGTGGCTCCGCCGTTCGTGGTCGGGCCTTTCTGTCCCCAGCCCAGCAGGTAGAGGGGCCAGGAGCACGGGCGGTTTGCACCGGTGGCGACGAGGAATACTGTCCTTCAAAGACTGGTCCATGCAGATGCCCGCGTTCCTCCCCCGACCCACCGTGAAAGCACACTTCTCTGCCCTGTGTCTTGCTGAGTGTGTGTGTGTGTTAAGTTTGTCCGACCTGGAGTCTGTTGTGATGAGACTGTCGTTGCCGAGGCATGTGGGGAGGGCGGGCAGTGTGGTCGTGACTAACCCTCGCTAACCTCTCCCTCCGCTCTCATGCTGCTTACCTCTGACTCTCACCTGCCCCCCACGTGCCTTTGCTCATCGGCTGTGAACAGTGTCTACCAAAGCTCATGAATGGTGTTTGGGTGTCTCTCTGTGGAATTCGGGGGAGGGGGAAGGCGGGAGAGACCGCCGGGTGCACTCCCAGCTTGTCACTCGGGAGGGCTTGCATGCCTCAGGGCTCCACCCCCCGCAGGCACGTGGGCACACTGTGCAGAGACGCTCAGAAAGGAATGCGTGGAACTGACTGTGGGCTGCTTTACCAGCCCCAGAACCAAGTCTGTGGGGGTGGGGGGAGCGCCCAGACCCTCCAGCACACACTGCACAGCGGCAGGCCCAGCCAGTCCTCCAGGCGGGGCTCAGGGGCAGGGCTTCACCGCAGGGCACCGCTGCATGCTCGCCCGGGCACTGTGCACATTCACTGCCCCCCACACAAGCATGGCCCCTGTTTCTGCCTCTGCAGAGTGAGGCCCTTGGGAAGACTAACTGGCCTGGGCTTCATGTGTGTCAAGCAAACATCATGGTAGAAGGAGAGTTGGCTTTGATCAGTGTGCCAGGAAGTCAGGTGTGAAGACTGTAGGAAAGCCGTGAGCAAGAAGCTGGACACAGGAGGACCGTCCCACCTGGGGGGGTGCACCGTGTGTTTCTGAATTTGGCCCTACCTAGGATAGACTGTCCAACCCAGTGGCCCCAAAACACGGAGCGCCTTGAAAAGTTCCCCAGTGTAATGCCTCTTCAGCCAGGGCCCGTGGACGGGCTCACGGAGCCCCTCGAGCACCCGAGGTCCCGTGCGAAGTTGCTGGATGCACGTGGATGCGTCACCTCCCAGGAGGAGAGCCCCCGGCCTTCCTGAGGTTCCCAGGCGGTTCGTGACCCAAAAGCACCGAGGAGCAGTGTGCTCCGTCGTTTGCCTCGGGCAGCACCTCACTGGGGCTTTTTTGTGCCCCCAGGAAAGAGTTTTTCCTCTTTGGGTAGTTTGACTCCTTGAGTCTTCCATCCGCCCTCCTGTTGCGGTCAAGCCGAGCCAGGCTGCCCCTTGTGGCGACGGAGGTGTCAGCAGCACCCCCAGATGCTGCTGCTGGGGCGATCAGAGCGGTGCTCCCCCTCGTTTAGTCTGGGGTCTGCCAGTGCTGCTCTGCCCTCGGCGAGGAGCCTGGTGGCCACCCTGGGACAGACTGCCCATCCCACGCAGGGCCCCCGGGACAGTGTCTGGTCAGGATGAGGGGAAGGCGGGGCCCCGAGGGCGCAGCGCCCGGAAGGAGCTGAGGGTAGCGAGCACAGTGTGAAAGGAGGCCGAGTGTGGTGCCCAGGCTCATGCCTGCCTCGGTCCGAAGGCTTAGTGTGTACAAGTGCCAAACGAATGTCAAGTGAACGAGCAAGGAAAAGGAGGGCTCAGCCCGGGGTGGCCAGGTACTGAGGGGTGAGGGCCGGCCTGGGCAGGACCAGCGGGAAGCACAGGTTCCGCTAGGCCCCAGGCTGGGCGTGGCCCTCCCCAGGCTGGGCGTGGCCCTCCCCAGGCTGGGCGTGGCCCTCCCCAGGCTGGGCGTGGCCCTCTGGGGCGTCAGGCAAACTGGTCCTGGCTTGGGTGGTTCCGGCAGCATCTCGCTCTGCTCTCTTTGCACATTTGCCCCAGTGCGGTGCCCCCTGCTGGCCAGGCGGACACACGCCTGCTGCGCCTGACGCGCCCTCCCCCCGCAGGCATGGGCAAGAAGGACGACCCCAAGCTGATGCAGGAGTGGTTTCGGCTGGTGCAGGAGAAGAACGCCATGGTGCGCTATGAGTCGGAGCTGATGATCTTGTGAGTGGCGGGGGTGGGCTGGGCCCAATGGGGTGGGTGGGTGAGCTTGGTGCCTCTCATAGCAGGAGCACAGCTCCACCGTGACTTAGGGGGTGAGGAGAAAGGGTCCCCAAGTCACTGCTGCTTGTCTCCCCAGTGCCCGGGAGCTGGAACTGGAGGACCGGCAGAGCCGGCTGCAGCAGGAGCTCCGGGAGCGGATGGCCGTGGAAGGTAAGAGGGGTGAAGGTGGGCTGCCCTGGAAGGCTGGGCATGGGGCTGCGGCCTCCCGCCTCGCAGGCCTGACACCACTGCCACTGCCCAGACCACCTGAAGACAGAGGAGGAGCTGTCGGAGGAGAAGAGGATCCTGAACGAGATGCTGGAGGTGGTGGAGCAGAGGGACGCCCTGGTGGCCCTGCTGGAGGAGCAGCGGCTGCGAGAGAAGGAGGAGGACCGGGACCTGGAGGCCGCCATGCTGTCCAAGGGCTTCAGCCTGAACTGGTCCTGAGCGCCTGCCACACACACTGGCTGGTCCGTGGCATCCGCCGACCTAGCTGGGCCCTACAGACCACCCAGGCCAGAGAGCCGGGCAGGCTGGTGCCTCCTGGGCGTCCATGCGCCTCTCAAGCAGCAGTCAGGCATCTGTGCAGCGCAAAGCCCGGGAGGAGGTGATTAACTACGGCGGCTCTGCCCCATTCATCCGACTTCCCCCCCCAGGGAGTGAAAGTCATGAGGGCAGTGGTTCCACTCGGGGAGAAGAAAGGACCTCGAGGTCCCCCTGGATGCACAGGGACAGGCGCCCCTTCGCATGCAGCCACGGGTAACAAGAGAAGGAAGTTGCTGCCTCTGTCGAATCCATAGCCACCAGAGTGCACCCCACACAGAGAAGAGGCCAGTCTTCACGGCCCTGAAGCGCCACCAAAGAAATGGAGGAGACAGCCCAGGAAGCTGCCTGTGAACTAAGAGCAGAAGGGGCCGCGCCAGGCAGGGCGCCACTGGCCCCGTGTCCAAGTGCAACGTGCAAGTAAGGAGGTCTCACGAGGGGCCTGCTCCCAGCCCCACACCACACACTGGACTCCACGTGGCCAAAAGCCCCAGGCCTGTCTCTGACTGTGGCCTGAGGCCTGTGTGTTGCTGCATTTTGCTTGTGCTTCACAACCATTGGAACACTGGAAAACCCCGATTCTGGGCGCCGTGCCAGGCCCCGAGGATGGAGCCGCCGTCCCGGGCGGGAGTCACCCTGCTGGCGTTTCCCAAGTTTGCACATTGAAATGAAGCTGACAATCCAGCAAGACACTCAGACGCTTCAGACTCTTTTGTCAATTATTTTTTTAATACTTGAAAAAAAAAGACTTCTTTTTTATACCTTTACTAGGGACACTGGTCACCTGGCATCTGGTTGGGGGCGACAGGCATCTCCGGTTGCTGCCCAAGCGCTGGCCATGCCGCCTGTCGGCCGCCCTTCCTCACGGCACCCTGTCCTCCTGCTGGCGTCAAACCTGAGGCCGACACCACCCATCAGGAGGGCAGTGCAGCAGAGTGCGTGGCAGCCTGTCTCTCCCAGTGGGAACCCGGCTCTGCAGAACCCATTTTCTTCCGTTTTCGGTGCCAGGGTTTTTTACCTCCTGCAACATGTTTATTGGAGGAAGTTGAGGGTAGGCCCTCCTGCAGGCTGGCTGACTCGGTGCCTGGTGGGCCCACCCGATTGGGATTCCCTCCACCCAGCCTCAGATCCAACCAGAGAAACAAGCAGGTGGGGGCCGAGCCGTCGGGGTTCAGGCTGGTTTCTCCAGGACAGACCGTTCAGGTCCTGGGTCTTCGTGGGGAGACGAGGGGTGATTCCTATGGCTCAGCCACAGGATGAGGGGCCTGGGCAGCGGGACGTCACTCGGCCGTGCACAGAGTTAGCCCACCCGTGCGAGGCCAGTCTGGGGGTCCTCCAGCCGACTCCCGTGCAGAGCAGCCAACACCCAGAGAGCCAAGCCCGGAGGCTCATCCAGGCCACCTGAGGGCCGGCAGACCGGGCATCCTTGCTGACCTCGGACTTCCACGGGGAACCACACTGTGCCTCACTGTGAACATCCGTCCTCGCCGCAGAGGATCAGAGCGCCTGTCTCACCCCTCACATGGCCCCAGTGTCGCCGTCCCCTCCTGTGGGTGGCCGGGGCACTGCCAGCCGCCTTCATGGGTCTGCCTCCGGCCCTGCTTGCTGCAAGGCCGGCAGATTTCTGTTTTTATTCTCTTTTCTAAAAAGGGGAGAGAAGGGTATTCTAGATTCCATCTTTAACCCAACCTTCCATCACATTGGACAGGACCTTTGTCGCCCGTGTGGCCTTTGGCAGACCCTCCACCTCTCGGAGGCTTGGAGCCTGGCTGTGCCCCGGGAGAGAAGCCGCTCCCTGACCCCACGTGTGCAGCGTGGTGGAAGGGGCGTGGCCAGCACGGCCCCCTCTGAGTGGCCCGATGCCTCGGGGTGTGCGGGGTTGCTGCTGCCGGAGCTGCTGGCCCGAGCTGCCCCCTTCTGGAATGCACGCTGCTTCCTCCCACCCCTGGAACAGGGCTGAGGACTTCGCCAAGAAGCTTTAACACCCAGGAGCCTGTACAGGGTTCCCCAGCACTCCACTCCCACACAGCACTCTTTTTAAAGCTCCTGTTTTATAACCACTAGTTTGCAGTTTATTTGGAGCCCTGTGACATGCTACATGCTGTGTTCTCCAGCTCTGGAAGTGCCTGCAGCCCCAGGCAGGTCTTCCTCCTGAGGGGTAGGTCCCCTTGGAACGGGACAGACATTTATGGAAATGCCCGAGGTCGAGTGAGCTCGGACGCAGCCAACACCGCGGGTCACCGCAGGGCCCCCACCCGAACCTGAGTCACCATGGTGGGGGGCTGAGAGCAAGTCCTTGCCCTGCTCAGGGGCCGCATCAGGCCTTCGCCCTAGGAGCCAACTTCCAGCTTCTTCGACCAGCAGTGACAGACGATTCTTCCAAAAGAAATTTTTCAGTGGGGCAGGAGATCAACTGAAAGAAAAAATTTATAAAGTAACACCTGAGCTACAAAGGGGAATGGGCCATTTTGTGCGCAATAAATGTTTTCAAAGAAACGCAGCGTGCATTGAGTCACTGTGCCAGGCCCCCACCCCACCCCCGTCTTCCCCAGTAGCTGGTGCCGGTGCGAGTCATTTCATTACGGTGGGTGGGTGTGTGCAAGGTCATTGCAGAGGCAGCTTTTTCTTCTTTCCAGTTTGTGGTTTTTCGTCCATATTACCCAGCTCAGCCGTCCACTGTCGCCACTTGAGAAAACGTCAGAAGCAGCCCAAGGTGGTGAGAAGCTGCTCCTCAAGGGATGCAGCCAAACCCAAAATTGTAAATTTACGAAAACATTGAGATTGTTTGTGATTATGTGTCACAATGCATTCCATGTGTGGCCCAAGACAACTCTTCTTCCTCCAGTGTGGCCCAGAGATGCTACAGGTTGGACATCCTGAGAGAGTCCACAAGCCAGAGTGGCCCTGTGTCCCCACAGCCTGCAAGCTGGCCTGGCTCTGGCCTGGGACACAGCTGGCCCGAGAGCCAGCCCTGTGGGGCCCACAGCCTCCGTCCACGTCCCCAAGGACGCCCAGCGTCTGGGCCTTGGGGAGCCAGCATCACCCTCCTCCAGTGGACACGCCCCAGGAGGGAAGGTGATTGTCTGGAAGGGCTCCGCTCTTGGCTACAAGAATCCCCCGGGCTGCTTTTCCTGACAGATGCTCGGTGGCTGCCCCCTCCCCTGACGTGCTGGCCGGGCAGGATTTCAGGGCTCGTCCCAAAGGCATGACGCTTCCCTCAGGGGCAGAGACGAGAGCAGCGTGGTGACTGGTGGGTGCCAGTGAGCCTCGCCCAGCCTGGAGGTCAGCAGGCTCTCCTGCCAGCTGTCCCAGAGAGAAGGAAAGAACCCATGGATGACAAATATTGTGTCCTAGGAACAAGGGCACCAGCTGGTGTGGACGCAGCTTGGCCCCAGTTACTGGGAGGCAAGCCAGGCTGGGGTACGGGCCCGTGGAGCAGAAGAGGCATTTGGAAGTGCTGTGTGGTCAGTCCCGGTCACTTCTTATCCCTCCGAGCAACCCCTGGGTTGGAACTGGGTGCAGGCAGGGTTTGACTGCAGCTCAGGCACCCCGGTGGCAGGAAATGGGGGCTGTGAGTTTAGGCCAGGCGCCCTGGGGTGGGCCCATCACAGGTACGTCGCTCTTTCCAAGGAGCAGCCGCATCTGAATCCCATGATCCCGTCACAGAAGTCAGTGGGACATGGTAACAGGAGAGGACGTGCTGTTTTACTTCACTTACTGAGCTACTGGACTGGCCCATGGAAGGCAACCCTCCCCATCTCTGCCTCCGCACAGAAGGCCTTCTCCACGCTGGCTCAGTGAGGAGCCTGTTGGATGGACGGGGGCAGGGACGCTGCCAGACCCCTGTTGCTGCGGAGCCTCACTGGGCAGGGCCTTGTGACAGCCCCACTCCCCTGCTCCTCCCCTGGAGCCCGGCCCCTGTGGGCCGGCCGTGCGTGCTGGCTGCCGCAGCCTGAGAAGCCCGGTGCCAGGACAGCCAGGGGAGGGGAGGTGATGTGCTGTGACACACGCGTGCCCGTGCGCACACTCACACACCCGCTCCTTCCATGCCCGGCGTGGCCTTTCCGGACAGTGGATGAGCCGTGGCCCAGAGTGGGACCCACTGTGCTGGTGGCCCTAGCAAGGCAGGGTCCAAGTCAAGTGTCTCCCTGCAGCCGTCAGCAGCCTGGGCCTGGGAGACTGCGGCTGTGCCAGCCCGTCTCCAGGGCGAGGGGACAGCATGTCCCCCAGGCCCAGGAGAGGGCCTCCGGAGCGGAGCCAGCTTGTTCACGCACAATGGCAGCTGCTGATGTCTGACCACACGGCGGGGGGGCGGGGGGGGGCGGCAGGGGCTGTGGGACTGACTGTCCCTGCCTCTCCCCACTGCAGATGTGGCCTTGGGCACCTTGCGTAACAGGTCGGTGCCTTCCTCCCTCCATCTCACCTGGGGCTGGGGCCCCTGGGACCAGTCTGGGGAGGGCCACACATTCAGGGCTTCAGACTCGAGTGAGGGCCGGTATTGGGGCACAGACACCCTTCGTGGCAAAACCAACACCCACCTTGAGGAATGTCAAGAAGCCCCAAGGGAATGAGGTGGGGGAGCTCCTAGTGCCACCAGGGCCAGCTCCCAGCTGCCCAAGGTCATTTCAGGTCCTGGGCATTTATTGTTAATTATTTTAAGTGCTCCGAGGACCCCCAGGGAGAACCAACCACTCTCTGGGAGAGGCCAGGGCCGCCGGGGGAGCAGGGAAAAGCTGCCCGCCCTGCCCAGCAGGCTGGTGACTGAGGAGGATGGCAGCACCACCCCCTACCCAGCAGTAGGACCTGTGCCTGAGGAACACCCAGGCCTTGGGCAGAGGTGTGGCTGGGTCTCCCGGCACCTCAGAACCTCCCGAGTCTTTGCAGGCTGAGCGGCGAGCGAGCCAGGGAGGGAGCCAGCACCACTGTGCAGCATTGGGGTCAGCAGCCCCTTCCGGCACCCTGCAGGGGGACTTGGTCCCAGGGGTTTGAGCAAGCTCACCAATTCAAACATTTCCCACCCTTCTCTTCTTCCAGGCCAACGGTGATCTGCTCAGCCCCTCTCCTTTGTTCTTATGCTCCTCTCAGGAGGGTCCCAAGTCCCAGGCCTTCTCTCCTGCCACCCAGGAGAAAGTTCCTTTTTTAAAAAAAGATTTTATTTATTTTTAGAGAGAAGGGAAGGGAAGGAGAATGAAAGGAGAGAAACATCAATGTGTGGTTTCCTCTTGTGCGCCCCCTACTGGGGACCTGGCCTGCAACCCAGGCCTGTGCCCTGACTGGGAATCAAAGCGGTGCCTGCTTCACAGGCCCGAGCTCAATCCACTGAACCACACCAGCCAGGGTCAGGGGAAAGTTCTTTATCGGAGGCCATTGGCCTTGTGCAGTGAGCCAGGGACCAGGACTCCAGTCTGGCACCTGACCCCAGGTTGGCCACCTCCTGGTTGGCGGACCCTGAAGTGGGGAGTAAAGCCCACCTGCCCGTGGAGTGGTTGTGGGGCTGACAGGTGAGAGCGTGGTGAGCTCTCGGTCTGTGGGCACTGAGCCGGCCCTCTGGCCACTACGTCATGTTGGCCGAGATGCCACCCACACTGTCCTCCCCTCGGGATCCAGTGGGGCCCCCTGACCACAAGCAGATGTGTCCACGTCCCCAGTGCCCATTCCAGGAACCAGCAGCAGCTCCCGGAGCCTGATTTCCAGGAAGTCAGTGACAAAGGTTTGTACAAAAGAAAGACCCCGGGGGCTGGCTGGGATGCAGGGAAACCCAGCTTTGGAATGAAGAGCCAGAAACTCCATGTGACTGAGGCAGGGTCTCTGGCCCTCAGGGTTCACGCCCAGACTTCAGCTCCTCATAGAAGCTGAAGGTGGCACCAGGCCACCCAGTCCTGCAGGGGCCACAAGCGCCCTCCATCCTAGCACACTCGTCCCTCCCCTAATAAATCACCCGCCCCAGGACCTGCCCTTGGGTTAGTGCTGTGGCTCAGCGGACTACTCAGAGCCCCTTGCTGAAGGGCAGGAACCAGATGCAGCAGGCGTGGGAGCCCCATGGCCTGGCCCACCCTGGGGGCCCTTTCCGGCAGCCCCCACCCTCCCCGCACAGGAAGCCCCCACCCGTCTCTCTGTTTGGAGCCCATTCTGGGCAGAGCTACTAGGGTGAAGGAAACCGCACCAGTAACGCTGGTCGTTGGCTCCGAGAGAAAGGTCCAGGGGGAACGAACACCTGCGTGAGGTGAGGTGACGTCGGGAACTTCAGGTTGGTGGTTTAGCGCTGAGTCACAGCTGGCCTACAGTACGCCCCTCACAGCTGCCCCAGGGCTGGGAGAACCACGAGTGGGGGAACCTGCTCGGGGCAGCTCATCACAGGCCCCAGCCAGATGGGGCCATTGCTCCCTCCTCCTCCCCAAGGAGCCTTGTTCTCTTTCTCTCTCTCTAGACTCGTCTACCTTCCTTGTTCTCATCTTCCCTCTAGACCTGGTCACCTCCCAGGAAGCAGGGATGGGGAAAAGGAAGAAAAGAGGATAAATAAACTGATGGCGAGAACTTTGCTAAGAACAGGGGGCGTGATTTATCCAGTCCAGTGCACTGCAGATTTTTTTTAAAAGGAGAATAAAAGGAAACCTCAGTTCACATTCACTTTATTTTTATTTTTTTTAAACTTTTTTATTGATTATGCCATTACATTTGTTCTATTCCCCCCCTCCACTCCCCTCCACCCTGCATACCCCTCCCCCACCATTTCCCCCTTTAGTTCATGAGCACGTGTCTCAAATTCTTTAGATTCTGTATTTCCCCTACTATTCTTACCCTCCCCCTATCTATTTTCTATCTACTGTCTATGCTACTTATTTTCTGTACCTTCTCCCCACTTCTCCTCCTCCCACTCCCCTGTTGCTAACCCTCCATGTGATCTTCATTTCTATGGTTCCACTCCTGATCTAGCTGTCCTCTTAGTTTGCTTTTGTTTTAGGTGTGGTTGTTACTAACTGTGAGTTTGCTGTCCTTTCACTGTTCATATTTTTTATCTTCTTTTTCTTAGGTAAGTCACTTTAACATTTCATATAATAAGGGCTTGGTGATGATGAACTCCTTGAATTTGGTCTTATCTGGGAAGCGCTTTATCTGTCCTTCCATTCTAAATGAAAATTTTGCTGGATAGAGCAATCTTGGTTTTAGGTCTTTGGTTTTCATGACTTGGAATACCTCTTTCCAGCCCCTTCTTGCCTGTAAGGTCTCTTTTGAGAAATCCGCTGACAGTCTGATGGGAACTCCTTTGTAGGTGACTGTCCCCTTATCTCTTGCTGCTTCTAGGATTCTCTCCTTCATTTTAATCTTGGCTAATGTAATGATGATGTGCCTTGGTGTGTTCCTTCTTGGGTCCAACTTCTTTGGGACTCTCTGAGCTTCCTGGATTTCCTGGAAGCCTATTTCCTCTGCCAGAATGGGGAAGTTCTCTTTTATTATTTGTTCAAATAAGGTTTCCACTCGTGACTCTTCCCCTTCTGGTACCCCTATAATTCGAATGTTGGAACGTTTAAAGATGTCCTGGAGGTTCCTAAGCTTCTCCTCATTTTTTTGAATTCTTGTTTCTTCATTCTTTTCTGTTTGATCATTTTTTTCTTCCTTCTGGTCCACTCCATTGATTTGAGTCCCAATCTCCTTTCCATTACTATTGTTTTCCTTTGTATTACCATTCATTTCAATTAATTTAGCTTCCATATGTTTCTCTAATTTGTGACTAAAATCAACCAGTTCTGTGAGGATCCCAATAACCAGTGTTTTGAACTGTTTCTTCATCGCTTAGATTGATCGGCTCTGGGACTCTGAGTTGTTCTTGAGCCATTTTTGGTCTGTTCACGCCGTTAAGTAAGCAGAGTGAAGCCTTAGTTGTTTACCAGGACGGGGCCACCCAGGTCGCTGGTTTGTGACGCTGCGTGTGGGGGCGTGGTCAGAGAGGGAGCAATGGCGGTCCTTTCCGCTGGCCCAGTCCGTCCAGTCCCGCCACTCCCCCCGGGCCTGTTTATCCCATCGGAATTGTGCGAGCCTGCTGCCCGGCGCTGCTCCCCTCTTCACTGGTTTATCTGCACGCAGATGCGCGACCGACCGCAAACAGCCCGCCGCGCCTCTTCCCTGTGCGCTCCCGTAGCCTGCCCGCAATCCGCGCCTTCCGCTGCTTGCGCACCACCCGTTCGGGGATTTTTTTTTTTTTGCCAACCTGCTCCGCTGCTGGCTTCGCTCCTCTTGTCGGTTTAGCTGAGCATTTTGTTGTCTTTGGACTCGTATTGTCAATTTTCTGTGTGGCTTGGTTATGTTTATTGTTGTTAAAAATAGTTGTTCTTAGATTTGGTTGTGCACGGAAGCAAGGTAGTTCCACCTACACCTCCATCTTGGCGGAAGTCCTCACGTTCACTTTAAACAAGCTGCAGCCCTGGCCAGCAGCTCAGCTGGCTGGGCATTGACTTGTGCACCAACATTTCCCTCTCCCCTTCCTTCCCCTCTAGAAGCAAAAGTAAAACTTCCCTCTAGAAGTTTTCATCCTCAGGTGAGGACTAAAAATAATAAAAATAACATAAAACAAGCTTCCCTGGCGACTAGGGCTCAGCGGGAGATCGCTCAGCCCCGGTCGGTCACAGGCCAGACTCAGGGAAGGCGAGGGGAGCAGGGAAGCCCCGTCAGCCTCTCTCCACCGGAGATGCAGCCGGCGTTCCCTGTGCGTCTTCCCAAGCCAGCGGTCCGCCCTGGGTGGTCACACCAGACCACCTCCAGCACCTCGAGGCTCCCAGGCGCCTTGAACAGGAAACGAAGGTGGAGCAGCTGGGGATCCCCTGCTGACAGGGTGGGGGCTGCATGCAGGGCCCGAGGCTGGGGGTCCCGCGTCCCCGCAGGCCGGGGTCTGGGCCTGAGCAGGACCTGGCCCTGGGTCCGAGCCTGGACAGGCCAGGTCCTCACAGGAGTCTGGGGGAGCCCAACACTGCCCCCTGCAAGTTGGCAGGCACCTGGGTGAGAGACAGCCTATGAGGAGAACATTCAGGGACCCAGACCTGAGGAGAGGGGAAAGATCTGAGTTTTGTTAAAATAGGGCAAGCATTTCCTTGAGGTCAGCGCAGCAGATCAGGGCCGGGCAGTTTCCTAGGGACAGGTGACATGGTGGAAGTGTCACCAGAGCTGCCATAAGAAAGTCCGCAGACCCCATGGCTTAAAGGACGGAAGTCCCAGACGGACGTGTTGTTGGGGGCTTTCCCCTGAGGCCCCTCTGCTCGGCATTTGCGCAGGACCTCCTCCCTGCGTCCTCACCTAGCCCGTCCTCTGCGTGTATTTGTGTCCTGCCCCATTCCCAGAAGGACAATGCTGGGACTGGATCAAGGCCCACTCTAATGGCCTCACTCAACCCTAATGACTCCTGTGAAGGCCCCGTCCCTAAAAGCACTCACATTCCGGGAAGCTGGGGGTTAGCGCTCCGACATGTGAATTTGGAGGAGACGCAATTCAGCCCCTCACAGTGGACTTTAGGAAAAACCTTTTAGAAATGAGCCTCCTCAGAAATGTTTTTGAAAACACCAGTCTGTTTCTGTTTCAATAAAGAGAACTCAGGCTGGGGATGGGGGAGCGGTGCGGGGCTTTACGAAAGGATGGGGCCTCCCCACCGGCAGAGCAGAGACCTCAGAGAAAAGGGAAACAGGTTCTGACTGGTCAGCCAGCTGCACCCTCTCAGTGAAAACCTCACGAGGTTCGTGTCCTGTTTTCATGGCCAAGAACGTTATTCTCTTGTTCGTTTACTTATGTATTTATTTTACTTTAAATGATCATTTTTACATATAGTAAAATTCACCTTTTAGTGCAGAGTTCTATGAGAGTTCTTACAGGTCTTGTAAGAGATTATTTATTTTTAGAGAGAGGGGAAGGGAAGGAGAAAGAGAGGGAGAGAAGCATCCATGTGTGGTTGCCTCACAGGTGCCCCCTACTGAGTACCTGGCCCACAACCCAGGCATGAGCCCTGACTGGGAATCAAACCCATGACCCTTTGGTTCACAGGCTGGCACTCAATCCACTGAGCCACACAGGCCAGGGCAAGATCTTATACTTTTGACAAAAGTACACAGCTGCGTAACCACCAGCACGATCAGGACACAGACAATTCCATCTCCCCCAGAATTCCACTGTTCTCCCATAGCCACTCCCCCTTCCAATCTGTGGCAGCCACCGATCTGTTTTCTGACCCTGTGGCCTTTGTGAGAAGCATTATTCTCTCCTAATTTATAAACAACACTGACTGATTTTAAAGCCCAGAGCATAAGAGGAGTGGCAAATCAGAATGGGGGGACTGGACTTGGGAGAAGCTACCTGGACCACAAGAAGCTCTTGAGAGACTTGCAAAAAGCTGGTTCCAAGTGCAGAGAATTACAGGCCAAGTGGCAGAAACCCTGCCCTGTGTAACAGGGTCAGAGGTGCAACACTGTTTAGGTAAAATCCAAAGCTGTTCACCCAGGCTCCACAGCCTTCCTCTGACCCTCCCTGCGATGCCCCTTCCTGCCTTGCGACTCTTACAGTAGATGTGCCCTGGGTCCTAAATGGTCTTCCCCTGTTGCCAGGTCTGGTCCCTTCGGCCTTAGCCATTGGCTTAGAGACGGCCGGGTCTCAGCCACCAGTCCCTCGCCCTCACGGTGCCTTTTGGTCCACTGCCCGCCCCCGCCCCACCCACCCTTCTGGTCCCCACGTGCGCTTCGTTTGTAGAGCACCCGGAGCACCGACACTGTTTTCGGCACAATGCAGGCGCGTGAATAAAGCAAATTACAGGCCTCTTCACAGAGTCCTTTCCGGGGAGGGGAGACCATCCAGCGCAAACAGGTAATTGCGTAATGTTCCTGGTTGTGCAACGCACTGCGGAGGAAAACGAGCAGGCCCGAAGGAGCCCCAGGCTGCTGGGCCGAAGCAAAATAACAAGAGGTGGTGGTTAGGAGCTGCGTTCCCAGAGGGGGCACGTGCGCAAGACTTCATGGGTCAGTGAAAGGCCTGGGAGACCATCATCTGACCTTCGGTAAAGGGGGAAAGAATACGGGGAGCCCGGTGGTGGTGCCTGGGGTGAGCCCCGGGTGGTAGGGCAGCTGGTGGGAGGGCACAGCGGTGCAGTCACTTGGGAAACTGGGCAGTTTCTCACGAAGTCAACACTCCCCAAGCCTAGACCAAGCAGTTCCACTCCTCTGTGCCACACGCAAGAGGAGTGAAGACGTCTCCACAGAAAGGTTTGTAGGACAGCGTGCAAGGCAGCGTTGTTACCACCTGGTGTTCACAGGTGGGAATAGCCTGGAGCTGCAGAATGTGCAGGACCTGGGTTTGTCGAGGTGACTCCCAGGCCTGGAATAATGAAATGATGTCAGAGGCCGGTTCAGGAACGCAGGGAAACGAGCCCTGTCACTCGGCCGGAAGCGGTGCAGTCGGCGGTGGGCAGGAGAGCAGAGCAGGGAGGCCGGAGGGGAGGGTTACCAGCTGCGCACATTAGTTACAAGTCCAACGCCCCTGGCAGCCTGCGCACTGCTTCTGGCGGGGCACGAGGCGGTGGGGCCACACAATAAAAGCAGAGCATTTAGGGTTTCCTGGTGTAACGAAGGGACAAGAGCGCTGGTGCTAGAAGCGACCGACCGCTTAGGTGGGCCTCGGCTGCTCACTGAGGGGTGTCTGTCGTGGGAAAACACAGCGCTCTCCCGCCTCTCGGGTCCCTCTCACTCCTCCGCAGGGCAGAGTGCAGTGCACGGAATGCAGTTGGTCATTCGGTCGCTGGTGTCAGGCATCCTAATGAGTGATGTACCCTTCACACTGTGAACCCCTAGAAAGAAGACACCCGCCAATAAGTACTCCTGTGCTCAAATTAAAAAAAACAAACACGACAACAAAAACCAGAGCCTAGAAGCCGTCTCTGCCCAACAGACTCCCAAAAATCGAAGAGGGAGAAACTCACCCTGGGTTGCTACCGCCTGAACAGCCTATATAAGAGGAGCTCCTGGGATCGGGTTTCAACCAATCGGAGTGAGGATTTTCTCAGCCAATCAGAGCTGCACAGGTAAGCCTGCAACATCTTAACTGACCAGTCAGAACAGCTCCATTCTGGCCAATCAGGACAAAGCCTTTTAGACCAATCACACTACAGATATTTGGATTTCTCATTTGTATGAGAACAGGCCAATCAGGGGCCTGGGCTAGGACTTCTGTCCACAAATACCAGCTCCCTGGGCCCGTGGGTGCGCTGTTTCTGTTTTCAAAGACGGGTGGGAATCATTTTCACTCTACAATCATGCTTTTTTTTTTTTTACTTGATTCATGAAGTTTATTGTATTTTACCAAGGGGAGTGGGGGAGGGAAATGGTCAGCAGTGGATTACAACATGATGGTTAGCAAGTAGAAGTACCCTGCATGGCAAAGTCAACCATCAAATCAAGTCCCCAGTGAGGAGGGGTCAGCAAAGCCCGAGGGGGTCCGTCTCCTGGAGCTCAGAGGTGAGGTTCAGAGGTCGGGAAAGAACAGACAGGTGCACTCTAACCCAGGAGTGGGTTATGAGGAGATGTGTTGCTGTGCCCCTGAGGGGTTTTCTCCCGCAGAATGTAGGCTTATGCAGGCTCGGTCCATCAGTCCGCTCTCAAGCTCATCTTTTCTCTCTGCTCGGGGAACATTATCACCACACACCCTTCCTTCCACAAAAGGAAAATAACTTTTCTATCTAGGTCACTGTGAAAAGCTGGAGATTCAGATGAAGCCTGGAGGGAGGGATTTCTCTCACATCCTGAGGGCAGGCAGTTGGATAGAGTGTGGTTGGAGCGCCTTTCCCCCACCCCATCCCTCTTACCTATGCTGCCTAGGAGACTCACTTCAGATAGAGCCGCATGGACTGAAAACAAAGAGATGGAAAAATATATTTCATGAAAATGGAAAGGGAAAAAAAAGCTGGGTAGCAATTTTTACACCAGACATAATTGACTTTAAAACAAAGACTGTAACGAGACAACAATGGACCCAGCAATTCCATCCACCTCTGGTGTTTACCTGAAGAAATCCAAAACACTAAGTCGAAAAGACATAAATACCTCTATGTTCACTGCAGCATTATTTACAATAGCCAAGATATGGAGTATGACTCACCCATAAAAAAGAATGAAATCTTCCATCTGCAATGACATGGGTGGCCCTAGAGAACGTTGCACTGAGTGAAGGGTCAGAGACAAATGGCATGTGATTTGACTCGCATGTGGAATCTTAAAAACAAAACAAGAACAAGAATGGGCACATTTTGGTGATTGCCTGATGGGAGAGGGGTGTCCAGGGGGATGGGTGAGAAAGGTGAAGGGATTGAGAAGTACTGAATTGGCAGTTACAGAACAGTCATGGGGACATACAGTACAGCACAGGGAACATAGTCAATAATATTGTAATAACTACATGTGGTATCAGATGTATACCAGATTTATTGGGGGGGGTCACTTAATAAGTTATATGAATGTCTAATTACAGGGCTGTACACCTGAAGCTCATATAATATTTTTGTCAGCTCTAACTAAAGATGTTCTTAAAGGGGAAAAATTAAAAAATACAAAAAAAGTAGAAATTAGAAAACTCCTGTGGCTTTTATTATTTTAATGTAACCATGGGAAGAGTTTTAGTAATACATCCTTCCGGTCTCTTCTCTTTCGGAAGCTCAGTTTCTAGTCCTGTGTTCAGGGATGAGCAGCTTCCTCATCCTCCCAGAAACGCGCTTTCCTGTTTCTGATTCCCTTTCGCTGGTGCCACAAGTGTCTGTTGTTGGCTTGGACGTGCGACCGCGGCGCAAGAGGCCAGGCGAGGGGCTTTCCCGGCCCTGCACTTCTCGCTCGGGGCGCCTCGGGCATCCCCGGAGCTCCCTCAGAGCCGGCAGTTCCTCGCGAGAAACCCTGGACTCACCCCTGCGTCGCCGGGGTCAGCTGCCACCCTCCCCAGGTAGCTGCCTTAATCAACACAGTGTCCGCTGTGTGTCAGCGTCGGCGCCAGGCGGAGCCAGGGTCCCCACCCCAGCGGGCGGTGCCCAGGCTCAGGTGCGGCGCACTAGCAGGGTCACGCCGGACGCCGGCGGCCGGGGGCGGGGCGGGCGATCCAGGAAGTCGGTCAGCTGCGCCTGCTCCTCCGCTTCCCGCGCAGCCCGCCCACGCGCCCGTTGCCTCCGCGCCTCCGGCTGCTGCTGGGGGTGAGTAGCTGCCGAGCTGGCCCCGTCCCGCGCCGTACTAGGGACCTTCTGGGAGCTCCAAGCTCGGAGCCCCTGCTCTCAGGCGAGGGGCCGTCGCCAGCCCAGTCCGCCAGAGGGTTGGGAACGGAGAGCAAGGAGTCCCGGGCGCACACGGACCTTCCGCACCGGTGTCAGGGCGCTCTCGGCCCTCATGGTCTCCGCGGTTCTCGCGGCCCCGACTTGGCCGGGGAGGCTTCCGCTCGGAGCCTTGGCACGCACCGGCAGAGGCAGGAGGGATAAGCCCGCGCGCTCCGAGTTTGGCGCCCTTGGCAGAGAGGCCCAGGCCTTGCCGGGGACCGAGAGGCTTTGTCCTCTACGCCCCACGGAACCTCGCGTGTGGCTTCTTCCCGCCGGATGCTGTGGCACGCAGTGGGAGTCGGGAGGGCTCAGATGTCCCGCCGACGCGTGGCTTAGACCGGAGGCCTTGTGTCTCACGTCCAAGGCAAGAAACCTCGCCGGAAGGGACGGATCCGGAACCCAAATCAAGGCTCAGATTTTGGACTCTGGCCTGTGGCACTTCCCCCCGGCGCCGATGTAGCGCCGGCCCTGGTGGGTCTTAGCAGCATAGGGACTCTGCAGGGAGCTGGCAGGGGGCGGAAAAGTTTGTTCGATATTAGTGACCCTAGGAGCCCCTGGGGGGACTTAGACGATCCTCAGGGCCCAGGAGTCCGCGGGGTAGGGGTGGCTTCTGGGACCTGACAGTCCTTCTGGGAGGCCTGAGAGTGGCGAGGCATAGACTGGGGTCCCCACTGTAGAGCACCCCCACCTTTTCCTTCCACCACCAGGCACCCTGGCCCTTCCTGCCAAGGCTTATCTGCTGGCCCAAGCTTCCCTTGGTGCCATCTCAACCGGCCCCTTTCTAGAAGGGGCTCAGCAGGATGTAGTATTCCACATTCCATCTTCACCTGCCTGGGCCTAGGGCAGGTTCGGGCTTGAGGGGACCTTCCTGGGCCCTGGAGTCCCTGGGAGGGAGTGTTCTGGAATCAGACCTGAGGGGCCAGGGGGGAGGTCTGGTGTTACAGGCGGGATGCACAGATCTCCAATGAGACATATTGGAAAAAGGGCACCGGTGTCCAGAGTGTGCGGGTTTTTGTCACTCAGGGTGGGCGAGTGGCGTGTGGGGAGAGGTAAGAGCGAGAATCCCCAGAGTGCTGGGCGTGGATGGGGTCGCGGGGGAGCGGGATGGAGACTGCCATACCTTGATGGGAGGTGGGCTTTGGCGTGAAGAGCTGCGGGAACGTGCAGGTGTTGCTAGGGGTTGTTTTATTTTTCCTCCAGTTACAGGTGACATCCCGAGTACCCTGTGCTAGTTTCGGGTGCACAGCCCGGCGGTTAGATCAGGGATGTCAAACTCGTCACGGGGCCACATCAGCCTCTTGGTTGCCTTTAAAGGGCTGAACGTCATGTTAGGACTATACAAATGTAACTGTTAACGGGGGACAAGGAGCTTGGTGCTGCTGCCGGGTAGAAACAAGGTGCCGGGCTGAATTTGGCCCTTGGGCCCTGTGTGTGCCGCCAATGGGTCAGACAGCCACACACTTTGCAGAGCACTTTCCCCGATGTTCCCAGTGCCCTCTGGGCACTTGCGCAGGCACCCCAGCACAACTGACTGCGTTCCCTGCGCTGCCCTTGACATTGGGACTGTTCTGTGGCAGTCAGTCTGCCTCAGTCCCTCCTCCTCACCACCCAGTCTGCTGCCGGCCCCTGGCAAGGGGAGGAGGTGAGGCTATCAGTGTGGACTCTGACCAGTGACCAGCAGCCCGTCGGCTCCAAAAGGGGAAGTGCCCTCAGGATAGCGCAGGGGAGGCTGGGGCAGGCTGGTCTGGGCAGAAACGGGCGCCTCCAGGTTGTAAGGGGCGCCGCAGCCCTGCCCGTGGCCTCATGGCTGCAGCCCACCTGGGAGCCTCTTGGAGAAAGTGGAGGTTCCACTCGTTTGCAGATGCAGGAGGAACTTCTGCCAGGAATCTACCCCTCACAGGAGGGGAGGGGCTGGTGTTCTCTTCCTGTCTCTGCAAGGTGGAGGCTTGGGGCACTGGGACAAGCCACCCCGGTCAAGGCCGGGAAGGACTGTGTGTCCTGCTGTGGCACCCTGGGGGCCGGCTCTGCAGGGCCGGCCCTGAGGAGGTGCTTCCTGGGGCTGCCACCCTGGTGACCATTTGCCTGCCCCCTTGGGCCTCCCAGGCACAGGGGTCCTCCACACCTGGCTGGCCACCCCCAGAGCCCGCCTACCCTTGCCCAGAGCCACTGACAGGTCTGGAAAGGTCAGCCAGCCGGGGTGTTGGTGCTGGACCCTGGCACACGGCTCACCGGGAGCCACACGCATACGACAGAACTTCACATGCGCGGATTAGCTTGCGTGGACATCTCAGTCATCCATCAGAGACTGGGTTATCCCTGCTTATCAAATGAGGAGACTGAGGCACGGAGAGGCGCCGTGACCCGCCCAGGGTCACAGCTGAGGGATTCAGACTCTGAGCTCCAGCTTTCACCACTGGACTCTTTGCAAGGGGCCCCCTCTCCTGGCTCGTCCCTGAGTGGGACCCCTCCACCTGTTCCACCTGGAGGGTGAGGAGCCAAGAGGAGGACAGTGGTCCTCCTGTGACTCCTGGGCCCTCTCCGCAGGGTGCCGCCCAAGAACCATGCGCAGGTCCCCCAGCCCCACCGCCCTCTGACTCATCCTTCGCCCTCTTCCTGCCTGCGAGGCTCAAAATGGGGAAGTTTCAGAGGAAAGGCAAACGGCCTGAGGATCTGCCACCTTGTGCATTGAGCCGGCTCCGTGGGTGTCTGTGTCCAGGGCCCACAGCTGCCCCCTGAGAATGGGGCGGGGGTTTCAGCGCCCTGCCCTCCAGCAGTCCTGCTGGCTCCTGGTGCTGGCAGTGCTGCCCAGGGAGGAGGAGTCGTGGAGGAGAAGAGACCCACACTCAAGTGGAAGGGGGGCCCCTTACCTGAGGCTCACGGAGCAGCCACTGGCTGCCTGCCCTGGGGGCAGCACAGGGATTCCTGGGGAAGGCTGTGCAGAAGTGGGGCCACCACACACGCAGCGGGGCTGGTCCTCTGGGTGCCAGGGTCACTGTGGTGCTTTCTGCAAAGCCTGGGGCCCGCGCCTCTGCCTGGCCAGACGGGACCTGCTGGTGGTTGTGCTGAGGGGGGCAGGTGTACTCGACTTTCATGCTTGTGTGCATGTGCGCATGGGTATACTCCTGGCGGGGTCCCACCTGCAGGATCCCCCGTCCTGTCCTCTGGGCAGCTCTGTTCCCACTGGGTGTGATTTGCATAAGGATGTGTCACTTTCATTCTCACGCTCTTCTGTGAAACTGCAGGTAGGAAGCATCCATGGGGGTTTCTCACGTATGTGCCGCGTTTGCACAGGTGTTCGGGGGGCTGCAGCCCTGGGTCCCCAGCTCCAGGCCATGTCCCCAGGGCTTCTGTCTAGATGTACTGTGCCCCCCCAGGGAGCGGCCTTTGGGTGCCTTTTTGTGTTGGGTACTGTCCCTGTTACCTAGTTTGCTCCCACCTTGGGGGGTGGGCCTCTACCCTGGATGGAGAAAGTGAGGTCACGTGGCAGGTGCGGAGCCAGCTGCAGCCCGTCCGCCTGTCCACTTTCGGAGGGTCGTCCCTTTATGAGCCGAGAGTGCCAGCCCTTTAAGGACACGCTGCTTTGCACTGGGCTCAGGTCTGTTGCTGCTGTCAGAGCAGGGGGACAGGAGTCTAGTTAGGGGCTGGGGCAGCAGGAGGATGGGGCAGGGCAGGGACTTGGTGCCAGGGAGGGATGGCAGGGGGACGGAGGCCATGTGTCCCCCTGAGAGTCGGTGCACAAGAGGGGCCTGGGCTGAGGAGCCTGGTCCCCGGAGGATAAACCCAGGCCTGTGGCCTTGGTGGCTCTGCACTCAGTTTGGAGAAGGCCCAACAGCCCAGCTCTCAGCATCAGCAGCATTTAACCAAGGGTGGGGCTGGAGGGCAGATCTCTGTCTGGTGGGCTGTCTCCTTGGAAACAAGAAGATGGAGGCCGCCTCTGGGTTCCACTGGGGACTCGGAGCTTTGGGACTGCCCGCCTTGCTGGCCCCGGTGGCCTCTGTGTCTGGCGGCAGGGGGTGGGGGGGGCCGAGGGACGGCAGTAGGCCCAGCACAGTGCAGGCCCGAGGGGGCTGAGGCAGACTGCCCGACCCGCCTCTGTGGGAACCTGCCTGCAGGGCCAGGGGCTCCTCGCCCAGCCCGCGGAGGTCGCTGCGGGCTGTGAGGCCGGCAGGATCCCAGGGCTGGGGGACAGCACAGCTCCCTGACCTGTCCAGGCCTTGCCGCATCTCCCTTCCTTTGTCACACTTGGCGTCCCAGGCAGGCGGCAGGAGCAGCTCGGCCGTGGGACCCCCTGGCCCTGGGCATCTGCCGAGTCTCAGAGCCTTGGTTTCTCCTTGGACCTTGGGCAGTAGCTGAGCCCAGGGCCTCCACTGGCCACAGTGTCTTGTCAGGGCAGCACCATCTACCACGTGCACCGCCCGTCTCTCCGCCCGACCTGGTCCTCGCGGATGAGGAAACCATACCTCCTGCCAGAACACGGCGCGGGAGGCCCTCTGTCCATGGTGGTGGCCATCCTTGCCCTCCTGCCAGCTCCAGACGGCCAAGGTTCGGGCCTGGCCTCGGTCACGTCCTGTTTCTCCTGGCTGATCGCAAAGAGGGTGTAGTTGTGCAGAGTTGGCAGGGGGCCTGAGTTACCTGGTGAAGAGCCTCCTGGCTGGGCTGCCAGCAGGTTAGACCGTGGCCCCAATGCGTC